GAAAATGCAAGGCCTTCAGTGTAGTGTCAGTGGTCATAGCATTGGGTTTGGCTCAGGGAAACCTGGTTTCAAATCCCCAACTCAGCCTTGAAGCTCAGTAGCCTGACCTGGAAATAATCCAACAGGCCTTGGCATGTGTCTGTGGCCTGTTGAGATTAGAGAGCGCTTCCCTTACTAAAAAAGCAAATTACACTTACGCTATAGTAGAAGTTGCAGAGCATGAAAGTTGACGTTTCAGCTGGGCCTTAAATGATAATTTTAGATTATATGTTAGTGACTAAGTTTTAATTTATATATTTTTAAACTGTTGCTATATCTGTAGTGTCCCTGTTATACCTAATTGCAAATTCAAATGTATCCCTATCGTGTTTTATGACTTCCTTGATATTGTATGTGGGCTGGAACTGGTCTGTGACTGAAATAATAAATTCACATTTGTTGCATCTTGCCAGAAGGAATGATTCCCTCCATCTCTCCACTTCCTGATCTGGGGTTTCTCCTGACCCCTGACCCCCAAGAGCCATTTGCACTGGGTGGGAGGCGATGGAGGAGAGCCCCCACTGCACAAGCAGAAGTCCTTGTGCAGGGTTGGTTACCCAGAGATTCTGGGATGGCAATCCCGTCCAGTGCTATTTTCTAGAAAAAGAGGTGCTGGAACTCACCATGAACAGCTCCCCCATTCTCTTAGAATGGCAATGGCGTCCACCTAAGATGTGCCAGAACTGAGTTCCCCCGAGTTCCTATTAGAAAAAAGCCCTGGTCCTGTCCATGAGGCAGACTGAAGCCATCACCTCGGGCAACGGAATCCAAGGGCCACCCCTGTGGGCACCTCCACCTTCCTAAAAGCGATGAAAAGTTGCGGCAGCTTCTGGCGAGATCTTGCGAGAACCCTCATGCGACCTTCCCAACACCCTGATAAGCAAAGCACTCTTCCTCACAAACTGGGGTCTCAGGAAAGGTTGTGCGAGAGCTCTGGAGGCCTGCATGTGAATTCTCAGGGCTCAACACTGTACCTATGTGCAGAAACTGGGTTTGTACTGAGATTGTACTGACACACTGCCCAGTGGTGTTCACGGAAAGGGAGAGGATGTTAGATTTCTGTTATGCCACTGTGCAGTTTTGGGAGTCACAAGACTCTGTTGACATTCCAGACTGTTGGAAGTCTCACGGGAGACGGGAGATGGATGTGGAAGTTACTGGTTTCCTGTTTCTTTGTTCCTGTTGTTTCCTGTCTCTCACAGAGAGCAGACGCATATTATTTTCTGTCCTGTGTAGTTAGAAATAAAAGTAACAATGTAGCAGATATTTCTGGCTCTTCTGCTGCTGTTTGGGTACTCTGCGTAATGGGGAGCGTGCCTGAAGTCTCATTAAAGGCTTAGGTCGTTAATCACCGTCGGAGGAGAGCCTAGATGGATTCCGAAGATACGACGCGGAGGAGAGCCATTACAGCTCGGTCGTATGGAAGCTCCGACAGGCTCTTGCGCAATCTCACCAGAAGCTGAGCAACCCCGGTAAGCAAGGCTTTGGTGGAGGTGCCAAGGGGACTCGTGTAGGGCAGCACTCTCCTGTTTCACCGCAGGTGGTGAAATGGAACTAGCCACCCTTGGATTCTGGGAAATGTCCATTCTTTCAGGGGTGGGACTAGAGCTCAGATGGTAGAGGCAGGCCACAGCAGAAGACCTGGCTTCCCTTGACAGCATCTCCATAGCAAGTGATGGCAAAACTCCTTCTCTGCCTGAGACCCTCGAAAGCTTCTGCCAGCCAGAATACTGGGGCTAGGTGGACAGCTTGGTCTGACCTGGTATAAGCCAGGCTCCCATGTCTCTGACTCCATCCAATTCACTGAAGACTGTGCAAATAACAACAGGCTCATTACTGGCGTGTCTTCTGCTGTAGGGTTTGCATAGCTGCCATGGCAGCAATGGTGACAAGTAGGCGCAAATGTCATCGCTGGCCTTTAAAGCCCTAAACGGCCTCAGTCCAGTATATCTGAAGGAGCATCTCCACCCCCATCTTTCTATCCGGACCCTGAGGTCCAGTGCTGAGGGCCTTCTGGAGGTTCCCTCACTGTGAAAAGCCAAGTTACAGGGAACCAGGCAGAGGGCCTTCTCGGTAGTGGCACCCGCCCTGTGGAACGCCCTCCCACCAGATGTCAAAGAGAACAACTACCAGACTCTTAGAAGACATCTGAAGGCAGCCCTGTTTAGGGAAGCTTTTAATGTTTGATGCATTACGGTATTTTAATATTTTGTTGGAAGCCGCCCAGAGTGGCTGGGGAAGCCCAGCCAGATGGGCGGGGTATATATAAATTTATTATTATTATTATTATTATTATTATTACAGCTGTGCATCAGCACAGTGCGCTTGCATTATTACCAACAGGGATGCAGGTGGTCCTGTGGTCTAAACCACTGAGCCTCTTGGGCTTGCCGATCGGAAGATTGGCAGTTCAAATCCCTATGACAACGTGAGCTCCTGTTTGTTCTGTCCTAGCTCCTGCCAACCTAGCAAGTTGAAAGCACACTGGTGTGAGTAGATAAATAGGTACCGCAGTGGCAGGAAGGTACACTGTGTTTCCATGCACTGTGGTTTCCGTCATGGTGCTCCGTTGTGCCAGAAGCGGTTTAGTCATGCCGGTCACATGACCCGGAAAGTTCTCTGTGTGGACAATTGCTGGCTTCCTCAGGCTGAAGCGAGATGAGCACCGCACCCCATAGTTGCCTTTGAATGGACTTAGCCGTCCAGGGGTCCTTTACCTTCTACCTATTACGAACACAAACAAGCCATTGGCAATGCATGTAAGGTTGTTTCTGCAGGGTTGAGGCTTAACAAGACAGAGGTTTGCATAACAGACTCCTGGGTGAACCAGCGTCTCCCCAGATATCCATGTTGTGCAAATGACTCTAAACTGCATTTTACATGGGGCTGCCCTTGTAGACTGCTTGGAAATCGATGGCACAATTATTATTTTTTAGTTTCCAAAATATTTTTTGTTGCTGGTGGTGCTTCAGGCCAGCATAGCTACCTCTCTGAAAGTTCTGGGTTGTGTCTAACCAAGTTCTACTCAAAGTAGAACCACTGAAATGACTGAACCTAACTTATTCATGTCCATCAATTTCACTGGGTCTACTCAAGAGTATGACTAATGTTTTAATCAATTTGTGGTTTTGTTTTTCATAGACACACTGTGAAGTCTCTTGGATTGAAGAGTAGGCTACTAAGCAACAGAATAAATGAAAATAGGCTAGGAACTAAAATGGCAAAGGGAACTTTTGGGTTAAGGGATTCAAAGCGGCCATTAGCCACCTTGCCTGCTACTCTAGGGCTTATTGATTGCAAACATTAATTTTCCAAATTACAATTTCTGACTAGGGGTGGGGATCTGTTTCCCTTCCACCACCCCTCCCAGCTTTTGCAGAGAAACATGTACCTTCTTTCAATATTTACAGAAATGCTTAAAATAAAACAAATAGCCAGTTCAGCTTTTGTAGCTGGAGTCAGTCCGGACCCTGCCCTTCCAGGCCAGGTGGAAAAAGGTGTGCAAGGCTGGGAGCAGGTCTTCCAGGACTCACAACCAAGATGGTCTCCTGTACTCACCATTCAATAGTGAGTCCCATTGGGTTCACTGGGGCTTGCTCTCGGGTAAACGATAAAGGACTGCATGTTCAATTGAATGACAGATTTAGGTATGTGGCTAAAATCATCTCAATATTTTTTTACTGCTTGTAGTTTAAGGGAAACGAAAACAAACATACAGAATTTTTCTTCTGGAAGGTTTTTAGCACAAAACAGCAGGTCATCCTCAACGCACTTGCTCAGCTGTGACAAAGTTGACTGAAACAGAATTTCTAGGGCTTTATTAGAATGACGCTTTACGGAAAAAGATTTGCTTTTCACGGCTGCATCTGAAAAAAAATCGGTCTGACCAGGAAGAGCATTGCAAAGCTGAAATAACTAAAATCCATGAGTTGGTTTTTGTAAACTGAATATTAGGACAACTTTCTTTCAGCAAAGGGGGAGAGGAGAAGGGAACTTCGAACCAACCAAAACAAATTAATTAAGCATTTAAGACCCTGGGTTTTACAAATTGAAGCATTCCAACTCCCCTGTTAAAGTTCTTCTGTAATATTTTCTTTTTCTTTTTAAATAGAATGCATGAAATATCTTCCAAGCCAAAACTGTCTTTATTATTTGAGGGAATGTAGAAAAGTGGGGCATTTGCCTTTAAGAGTTTCTCCCATTAATGGAAGGGAAAAGAGCAGTGAGATCAAAAAGCAAAGTAGCTAAGTACACTGAGGTCATTTGAAAGCTATGAGTTCTATAGCAGCGGTACAAGACAAACCCGTCAGCTTCCATCCCATTAAACAAGCTATGAGCCATGTGTCAGGCACGGCGTGATTATGGGCAAATCTCGACCGAGCTACACCCAAGTGTCTGCTTCTCTATAAATTATTCAATTCCTTTTATGCAAATAATGTTTCAAGGAAGCAACGGGGATCTGAAATGGCTGGGAGAGAAACATCCATTTAGAAGAATTAAAGACTGGGCGAAAGGTACAGCCTTTTTATAGGCCAAGGCTTCTGAAAACTCCGCAAAATCGGTACATTCTGAAAGGTTTGCAGCAGGACACAGGCGTGTACATGAAGTTACAGGTTTTGCTGTCCTTCTCTCCCTTTATCCAAGAGGAAACAAAGGATTGATGCCAGCAGACATCATCCTACTGGTTTTTGAAGACTGGGAGGAAGAGGTTTGTGTGTGTGTGTTTCTCACACACAAATGCACTGCACTGTATCCAGAAAGTTTGGATAGATGAGCTTTCATTTGTGCCGCCGTGAAAAACAAACCATACTCTTTTCTGAAAAAGTACATACACCATTCGAATTTCTGAAGAGGGAGGCATTGCAACAGCCACACACACCATGTAATTATTATCTTCTTTTTTTAAAAAAAAATATACTTGGGGAAAAAATAATAAATAGGACTTAAAATGAGAAAGCAGACCCCAAACAGCAAGAGGATTTGAAACAAGAGCTGAAAGCAGAGAACCAGAACCGGACCAGGCAAGCAGAGCTTCACACACACAAAAACCACATCATCTGGGCTTGATCAGGAATTCACGGAGGAAGTATTCCCCCCTGTATGTTCTTCCCTGTCACATCGTATCTGTAGACATCGCTTCGTTCCAAGTCCATACTTTCTGGAAATGGGAAAAACAACAACGAAGCAATGCTCAAGTGTGAATGCAGAGGTAGGGGCTCGCGGGGAAGAATTGTGCCAGCGGCGTAGGTGCTTAACCCCTCCCGCAGCCGTCGATTCTTTTCCCGCAAATGCACCCATCCCCCTATACTCGACTTCTGATTTCAGAGTCCAGGAGAGAATTAGTCAACATGGGATGTCCTCCACCTCCCTGCCAATTCCCTCCCGCAGTTATTTGGTATCTCTGAACCAAGGTTGGCGACCACATCTTCTCCTTGTGGTCAGCATCTTGTTCCACTCTGAAGGCACTTTGGTATGACTTGTTTATTGAACGTTCATCCCGAATGGTTAGCAGGGAGGGTAGACAATACGGGCTACTTGATGGGGATTCATTCTGATTTCTGTGCGGGGAGGTTAGGTGATGCTGCAGAGTGGTGCATGCTCTAGTTATCTCCAGCTTGGACTACTGCAATGCGCTCTACATGGGGCTACCTTTGAAGGTGATTTGGAAACTGCAGTTAATCCAGAATGTGGCAGCAAGACTGGTGACGGAGTGGCCGCCGAGACCATATAACACCGGTCCTGAAAGATCTTCATTGGCTCCCAGTATGTTTCCGAGCACAGTTCAGAGTGTTGGTGCTGACCTTTAAAGCCCTAAACGGCCTCGGTCCTGTATACCTGAAGGAGCGTCTCCATCCCAATCGTTCAGCCCAGACACTGAGGTCCAGTGCCGAGGGCCTTCTGGTGGTTCCCTCGCTGCAAGAAGTGAGGTTACAGGGAACCAGGCAGAGGGCCTTCTTGGTAGTGCTGCCTGCCCAGTGGAACGCCCTCCCAGCCAATGTCAAGGCAATAAACAAATATTTTACTTTTAAAAGACAACTGAAGGTGGCCCTGTTTAGGGAAGTTTCTAATGTCTGACGCTGTATTGTTTTTAATATTTGGTTGGAAGCCGCCCAGAGTGGCTGGGGAAACCCAGCCAGATGGGCGGGGTATAAATTATTATTATTATTATTATTATTATTATTATTACCCTGTGCTATTTTTTTCTGGAAAAAGAGGTGCCAGAACTCACCATGAACACCTCCCTTATTCTCTCATAAGGGCGCCCACCTGAGAGGTACCGGAACTGAGTTCAAGCTGGAAAAAAAAGCCCTGGTTATCCTACACTTTTTCTGTGCATTTTCTCATTGAAATATATTTTCTCATTGAAATATAGAGTAGAGCCATCAGTTTCATGGCGTTTATTTCAGTTGTAATAAAAACAGCCAGTCATCAGGTGTGTCTCTGTGTGGGTGAGTCTCCCCGCCCCCACAGGCCCAGGCTATATATCCTGTATCCATACCCTAAGTCACACCTGATAGGCTAATTCAAACTTCCCTTCTGTAGCCGGATTGGACGGCTCCAACAGCCAATCGTATTACTACATTCTAAAATCCTAGGATTTAAAGCTCCAGACATAAGAGTTTTTCTTGCTGGGAGAAGTCTGACCTTTTGGGACAGGGAGTTTGTTGTGCAAGAACTCCTCGTCAACTATAATCATGGGACCAGAGGGTACTGTATGTGTGGCATAAACGGTTGGGTGTTTTTGCACACAAAAACACATTTTTGTTTTCCCCTGGTTAGTAGGCTTCCTTGAACAACAGTCTACCAAAAGGTCTTATTTAAGCATTATCTCTCCAAGTCAGAAGGGCTTTCCCCCCCTCTATCGACTTTGGGTATAATACTTTCTCCCTTATTTCAGGCAATGAAGATCAAACCTATAGATGGCATTCAGGGCTCTAGTAGAAAATAATCTCTGCAAGGAAGGTAAAGGTAAAGGGACCCCTGACCATTAGGTCCAGTCGCGGACGACTCTGGGGTTGCAGTGCTCATCTCGCTTTATTGGCCAAGGGAGCTGGCATACAGCTTCCGGGTCATGTGGCCAGCATGACCAAGCCGCTTCTGGCGAACCAGGGCAGCACATGTAAACACCGTTTACCTTCCCGCCGGAACGGTACCTATTGATCTACTTGCACTTTGACGTGCTTTCGAACCGCTAGGCTGGCAGGAGCTGGGACCGAGCAACGGGAGCTCACCCCGTCGTGGGGATTCAAACCGCCAACCTTCTGATCGGCAAGTCCTAGGCTCTGTGGTTTAACCCACAGTGCCACCCGCTTCCCTTCATATTTAATACCTTCGAGAAAAAGTGTCCAAACCTTCACACTTTTAAAAGACTACTAACAGCATTCTCCATTTGAACGGTGCAATAATTTTTTTAAAAAATGTATGATTTGATACATATTCTTTCCAAATTAGAAATTATTACGGTAGGCTTATTTTGTCTTCTCCAAGATTAGAAGGAATCAAAAAGCTGCTGACATTTGGCACTTACTTATTAAAGTTGGGGGGTGCTCACAATTTTGATCTTTAGGGGTGCTCCACACAGCAGTTTTATCACAGACTTGCATTTTCCTGTGCATGAGAATTTTATTGCACTGCCCAAATGAAGGCGCCCTCCTCAAAATGTCATCCCATATTATTTCCGTATTTAATCGGAATTCACAGTTTTGGTGGGAAATCCATTTTGTACAACAACAAGAAAAAAACAACAACCCACCCTCACAAAAACAGTAAATCCAGATTAAAACACGGGGTAGGGTGGGAATATGAGATGGCATTTTGATGAGGATAATGTCACATGAATGCTGCGAAAAAAATAAAGCAATTGTTGTCAGCACAGAGACAGCAATAAACTGCAGTGGAGAAGTGCCTTCATTTTAGGCTTAACAGGACGCAGAAGGCAGAATGATTCTGCCATAATCATTTTTGTCATAATTTTATTAAAGATGTCTGTATGTCAGCCTTAAGGGACGCGGGCGGCACTGTGGGTTAAACCACAGAGCCTAGGACTTGCCAATCAGAAGGTTGGCGGCTTGGCTAGTTGGTTTGCTCCCTCAAGGATGCTCTACCGACGTTTCCTTTTAAAAGAGCACCTCAACACTCAGCACCCTTAGCCTCGCAAGGGTCAGCAGCTCCAAAGAACCCAACGCAACCTCTAGCCCATCAGCAGTTGGGTAGTGCAGGGAAAGGCAACCATTGCTCTCTTCTCCTGATATCGCTGGACCAAAATTCCCATCATCCCTGACCACTGGGCCATGCTGGCTGGGGCTGATGTGAGATGGAGTCTATAATCTGGAGGGCTGCAGGTTCCCTGCCCCGAAGACAGAGGGTCAGCTGGTTAATGGCCGCAAAACGGGGCTCTTCAACCTGCCCCCCCCTATTTCAGATGGCCATGCACATTCCATCCACTCTCCTACTATGTGCCAGTGCCATTTCCAATGTGGCAACCCCAAAATTTGCCAGCTTCTATGGTTCCACTGTGTTGCCATGCTGTGCCCCCCTTGTGAGGACTACCACACCTGATTCCCCCCCCCAAAAAAAATACATATATGCAAGGAACACCTTTCTTCAGTTCCACAGAAAGAGCACTTCTTGTTTTTCTTTTGCAGAATGCCAGAGCGTTTAAAGAGTTTGGGGAAAGTTATGCTTGGAGCTCAGTTGGCAGAGCAGGACACTCTTAATCTCAGAGTTGTGGGTTTGAGCCCCACATTGGGCAAAAGATTCCTGCATTGCTTGGGGTTGGACTTAGAAGGCAGTCCTGTTTAGGGAAGCTTTTAATGTCTGATGTTTTATCGCTTTATTATTATTATTTTCATTAATTCTGTTGGGAGCCGCTCAGAGTGTCTGGGGAAACCCAGCCAAACAGGTAGGATATAAATAATTTTTTATTATTATTAGACCCTTGGGGTCCCTTCCAACTCTATAATCACCAACTCACATTTTCTGCTCTCCGATTATATTATTTTCATTCATCACTTGTTACAAGGACAGTCTCCCATATGAATTCCATATCCTGAGCCGACGTATTTTAGGAATGGATGTCAACTTCAATTTATTCCTTGCTATTATCTTTTCTCCAAAGCTGCCCCTGCCAACAATGCTTCCATCAGAAAACCCTTATGCGACCGTAACAGTTACATCTTGTACTCAACCCCAAGTCTAATTAAAATGGAACAACACCATAAGGTCAGGTTAAGGGGACGAATGCTAGTACGGTTATCCATCCACAATCCGTCAACAGTTATGTATTAAATCTGGAATAAACATGGGCTCCCATGGAGCCTCATCTTTTCCACTGATAGCTAAGGCACACCCCTGATTTGCAGTACAACAGTGCTGAGGCTAAAACTACACGTGGAGGTCAATTGTGTGGTTGTTTTCATAAAGGTATAAAGTCCAAATCAGCCTGGGCAGAGGAGTGAAAGTGTCAGAGGAGCTGTTAAATCTGTTTTCCTTCCTGCTGTTTGCCCGTCTCCTCAATGTTTTTCCGGGGAGCGAAAATATAGGGGAGAAAACATAGTTTCCAGTAGGGGGAAGCATGGTGCAGAGGTAGCGCTCACCTGACCTCCTGACCACAGAGTCACTGCTGCTTATCGGGACAGAGAAGGGTCAAGCACCAGGGAGGTTGGCTCAGTGCAAACACACCAGCAGGAGCACAGGATTAGCTCGGCTGCTCTATCTGCATCACACTGACGTTCCTGCGACTTCTCTGTCTCTGGGTAAGCAGCAGCAATGCAGCTGTCGGGAGGTCAGGTGAGCATCACCACTCCCATCCAGCCACCGTCTGCTGCTGGTTATTTTCTGACATAGGTGGAAGAGGGAGAGGGAGGCGCTTTTGAGCAGACAAATGAAAGAAAGGGAGAGGGTTAAGCAGCCCCTCTCCCTGCCACTCTTCCAGCTGTTAATGTCCCCCCCGAAGGCTGCTTTGCATTCTGGTTGTTGTTGGTTTTTTATGGACAGAACTGATTGCACTACCAATAGTCACATGTTAACTGGAGCCTAAGAGTCCCATTTCATCCAGAGTATCCTACTCAGTCCTGGATCTGGGGGGAAAAAAACCCAGGCATGCTTCATCAACCTTAAGAAACTTAAATCAGTTCATTCATTTCAGTCTCTGATCGAAGATATAAAATGTGAAATTATGGAGCAAATTCTCCTGGGGTGTAACTCAAATTGGGAAAGCAAACATCTGGATACAAATGTAAATCAGTGTCAAAACTAGCGTTCGTTCCTCTTGCAGCTATTTACAATTTGTTCGATCCGTTTCTGCACCGTTTCTGAAAGGAAAAGAAAGGAAGTCAAATGAGAAGGGTTATATTAATTCAAAACAGAGATGCTACAGGAGTTTCTGTGACACAGGTGATGAACAGGTGATTTTATTTATTTGGTACATACTATTTGGTACATCTTGTGTAACTGAGGGCAGCGTGTACTAGGCTCTGACCAGACCCACCTAAACCTTTTAGCTTATGGAAGATGGCTATATTATGTACCCTCCAACAGAAATAAATAGGCAAATCTGTCTTTTTTGGATTCCCTGTGTTTCTCATTTTCCTAACCTTAAACTCTGTTCTTCTCATTTCCATAACAATCAATGATTTAAAATGAAATCCTCGTGAAAATTCACCAGCATTTTAGTGCAAACTTCTAATAATCACATTTGGGTATGCAGTTTTGTCTAATCTGCACATATAATATACAGAGCAATTACCCCTCATATATTTTTTACACACTGGTTGCTTGGAGAACTCCCATCACAAAATCTGGAGAAATGCAAATTTCAAGGGATAGCTGTTTGAGTTCACATATCGATTTGAGATAAATTAGATAATTTATCATTAAAACTCAAACAAAACTACGTTTCTTCCCCATCACAAATCACAGACTATGTCCCAAGTTTCCATAACTTATTGCCTACAAGATCATTCTTGCCATCTACCCATTCAATTTTTATTCTCCCATCTAAGCAGCACAGCTTAACAACAACAACAAAAACCAACGATGCCAAGGGCCGAATTAACTAAGAATTAACTTCATTCCTATCCCATTTCAGACAAGAACTGTTTTCTAATACACCATGCATGGAGGGAAAAAGGTGGAACCCAGAGCCACTTTTAGCATCTTGTATCAATGATCCGAGTGCAAAAATATGGAATTGACACAGTGCCAGATCAATTTGGTGGTTAGAGTGCCAGGCCGATCCAGTTTCAAATCGGCACTTAGCCATGGAGTTCATTGGGGCAACCTTTGGCTAGTTGGTAAACCTCACAGGGTTGTGGTGAGCCTAAAAGAGGAGGAAAAGAACCACACACATGACACTAAGCCCTTAGAGTAGGGCTTGACTGCAGCCCCCATCACCCCGACCATTGAGCAGGCCGACTGGGGTTGATGGGAGTGAGGTCCATTTAGCCCCCCACCCCATAAAATATTTGAGGGAGTTGGCCCCCCTCAAAGTTGATGGGCATTGCCATTCAGATGGTGTGATGTGATTGTGGTCCTGTGATTATGTGGACTGTGGCTTACCTGTCACCCCCCCCCATATTTTATTCAAGTTGGCACGCCTGGCCACAGGTTAGGCAACCTTAACTTAGGAGGACTTTAGTGGGATAAAACCACTAAAACCCAGGCAAAAAATGGAGAGCTATCCTTGACTCTTTAGAAGTCTTCTTCCCCTGCTGATATAACGAATTTTTTGCTCTATAAGACTCACTTTTCCCCCTCCTAAAAAGTAAGGGGAAATGTGTGTGCGTCTTATGGAGTGAATGCAGGCTGTGCAGCTATCCCAGAACCAAGAATAGCAAGAGGGATCGCTGCTTTCGCTGCGCAGTGATCCCTCTTGTTTGGCTTCTGAGATTCAGAATATTTTTTTTCTTGTTTTCCTCCTCCAAAAACTAGGTGCGTCTTATGATCTGGTGTGTCTTATAGAGCGAAAAATATGTATGTATTCTGCATTTGGTCCTTTATTTTCAGCCAGAGGAGTGACATAAGGGAGTCTGCAAAACGTAGCTTACACCAAGAGAAAGAGAAAGAGGAAGACAGTGTGCTCAGTCGCATACCTGCACTCTACTAGCTGGTGTGGCAGGTTTACGTGGTTCCAGAGGGGCCGCTCTGTGGTGCCCCGTGGGCTGGCAGGTTGGCTGAGGCAGCTCTGACTTGCCTGATGGCGACCTCCGCATGGATGCTCCGAGGGTTACACACGCCCTGTGCGGCGTTCTTGGATTTCTTACCTGAAAGCGGAACTGTAAAATTGGCAATTTTCAAACTTAGGGTCGCCATTGTTTTACACCAGAGGTTGGCAACCTAAGGCCCATGGGCCGGAAGCGGCCCATGAGGGTCGCTTAACCGGCCCATGAGCCACCCCTGAACCGAGCCGCCAGCTTGGCGAGTCCATGCGCACTGTGCTAAACTGGCAAGGCATGGCAGGGTGCAGGGACTCTCTTCCACAGCTCCAGAAATCGCTTCTGCGCACGCCCAGACACTGGAAATCACATCTGTTCATGTCTGCAGCGCCGGAAATCGCATCTGCGCATGTCCGCAGTGCGGGAAATCACTTCTGCGCATGCCCAGACGCCAACAGGGTCTGGGCATGCGCAGAAGCAATTTCCGGCACCACGGACATGCGCAGATGCGATTTCCATTGTTGCGCTGCACCGGCCCACGGACGATATCTGCGGGGGTGATCTGGCCTATGCCCGGTAAGCCTTGCCGACCCCCGTTTTACACCAAGCGAGAGGAGCCAAGGTTATGAAAGGGAAAACAAGGCTGCAGGCAGCTAACTGAACCAGGCTGCTTCTTTGGGCGATTCTGCCTTTAGATGATGTTTGGCTCGGGACTGGTCCCTGGTGCTGGACCTCAGCTTGACCTTGACACTGCAGCGCATCTTTAAACCGCATAACTCCCTCCCACAGGAGGCTGGGATGGCCCCCAACTGGGATGGCTTTAAAAGGGCATTAGACAAATTTATGGTAAGGTAAATGTAAATGACCCCTGGACGGTTAAGTCCAGTCAAAGGCGGCTATGGGGTTGCGGTGCTCATCTTGCTTTCAGGCAGAGGGAGCTGGAGTTTGTCCACAGACAGCTTTCTGGGTCATGTGGCTAGCAGGACTAAACCACTACTGGTGCAACGGAAAAACCGTGACGGAAACCAGAGCGCACGGAAATGCCATTTACCTTCCTGCTGCAGTGGTACCTATTTATCTACTTGCACTGGTGTGCTTTCAAACTGCTAGGTTGGCAGGAGCTGGGACAGAGCAATGGGAGTTCACCCCGTCATGGGATTCGAACAGCCGACCTTCCGATCAGCAAGCCCAAGAGGCTCAGTGGTTTAGACCAGAGCGCCACCCATGTCCCTATAAATTCATGGAGGAGAAGGCCCTGATGGCTTTGCTCTGCCTCCACAGTTGGAGGCAGCAATGCTTCTGAATGCCAATTGCTGGAAACTGCAGGAAAATTTTTCTTGTGCTCTAATCCTGCTTGAAGAATTCTGGTTATCCAGTGCGAAAACAGGATGCTGGACTAGGGGACCCTGTTGTGCCATCTTCAACCAACCAAGTGGAAGACCTGAGACTTAACCCAGAGAAAAACTAAGAGCATCATGGCCCATTGACACTCACCTTTGACGGACTCGCTCCCAACCAGCTCATCCACAGAATGAGGGACGATAAAGTCGCCCCCATATAAATAGTTGATACCCGCATTCAGGTTCACGTTGGCTATCTTCAGGGGACAAGGCTTGGGGAAAGTAGTCTGCAGTACGGGGAATCCACAGTCTATTGGAGAGTTGGCAAGAGGAAAGACCTACATGGTGAGACATCAGGGGTATTAGTAAGTCTCGTCTCTCAGGCTCGGAAATGCCGCAAAGAAACAGGGAGGGAAAGTTACTTACCCCAACTACTATGGTCATGTGGGCCCCCCCAAAGTTAATCGTTCTACCCGGACACTGAGGTCCAGCGCTGAGGGCCTTCTGGTGGTTCCCTCGCTGCGAGAAACCAAGTTACAGGCAACCAGGCAGAGGGCCTTCTCGGTAGTGGCACCCGCCCTGTGGAACGCCCTCCCAGCAGATGTCAAAGAGAAGACATCTGAAGGCAGCTCTGTTTTAATGTTTGATGCATTACTGTATTTTAACATTTTGTTGGAAGCCGCCCAGAGTGGCTGGGGAAGCCCAGCCAGACGGGTGTGGGGTATAAATAATAAATTATTTATTATTATTATTATTATTATTATTATTATTATTATTATCATCATCATCATCATCATCATCTCTTGGGCTAAGAAGGGTTCCTCAGTCCTACTCTCATTTCAAAGCAGGATACATTTCCATTCTCCTTAGAAAAGTATTCTACTATGTGCGAGACTACCTTACAATTCAGAAGTTTCCTCCCAGTGTCCAAACCTACAATCCCCATCAGGCTTTGCTCCTCTCCTCTCTCACAAGATTCCACCGCCAAGGGTCAAGGGCTACGCGTTTGCCTCAGTGCCCTCTGTAATTTTTTTATTATTATTATTTAATGCACTTCCCAGCATGTTTCTGCCTTTCCCTGTTGGATTTTCCTGCAAAGTTCAGTGGATTATGTTGGCTTTGCTTTAGCACGAGCTGAAGCCTAACTTAGTCATGCTCATTAATGTTAGTGGGTCTACTCTTGAGTAAAACAAGGTTGCATTGCCACCCCCCAAGTTTCCACCACACTCTGCCTTTTTGTGAAAGATCACAGGCTGGAGTTAAATGTCACACTACGACGGACATCCCACTTGCGCAAGCATTTTGGCTTGTCAGATGGAACAATTCCCCCTCTTCCCGCACTGTGTGCTGTTTTGCAGGCTCCCCCAGTGTTAACAGAGAAATCGGAGGGCTCCCTTGGACAAAAAACAAGGAGACCAGCCAGGAATACCAGAGCAAAACAGCAGCCAGTAGGCTTGGCCTTTATTGAAGACTGTCGTGACAGGACTCCCACTTGCCACCAGGTGAAACAAGATGGAAGCCCTGAACAAAAGAAGACCCCAACTTTTATTAGCTACTAATCCCCCAAGCTACACCCCTAGAACTACATCACAACTACATCATGATTGCATCATTGACACATCACAAAAAGGAGGGGTTGAGGGAGGAGTTGTGGTGGTAACCTGAGTGTCTTGTCACCTGGCCGGTTCCACCTTTCCCCCTCCCCATGAGTACTTTCCAGAGGACAAAGAGGAGTTTGCAGTATCCTGCCCCCAGAGGGAACAGCTGATCATTGTCCTTTGTCTCAGGCCATGCTGAATCCACTCCCATATGCAAGTTCTTTGTGACCTTGATGGTCTTCTGTCTGGGACCATCACGGTTGGCATGCCAACTGGGTAGGGCTCCTGAGTACGTCTTGGTACGCTCAAGGGATTATGGCTGCCATGTATCAAACCTTCCCCCTTTGATAATCCTTCCTTCATGGAGCAAAATAAAAGTGGAACGGTGTAGATCCGATGTACGGTTGATTTTCTATGAATTTATAACAGAAACATTGCGTATGTCGTGTGTGAGTGTGTGTGTCGAGTTTGTACAAACTAAATGTTTTTTGGGGGGGGCGGGTTCCTGCAGCACCAGCACAGGTTTTTTCTTTGGTGGGGAGGAAGGAGAACGAGGCCCCATTGTGCAAATGGAAGTTCTTATGCTGGGCTTTTGCTGATGGGCCTCTTAAAGTGAATCCCACCTTTAGACTGTGACCAAAAGACCAATGAATTTTAAAATACCGTATTTTTCGCTCTATAAGACGCACCAGACCACAAGACGCACCTAGTTTCAGGAGGAGGAAAACAAGAAAAAAAAATTCTGAATCTCAGAAGCCAGAACAGCAAGAGGGATCGCTGCGCAGCGAAAGCAGCAATCCCTCTTGCTGTTCTGGCTTCTGTGATAGGTGTGCCGCCTGCATTCGCTCCATAAGACGCACACACATTTCCCCTTACTTTTTAGGAGGGAAAAAGTGAGTCTTATAGAGCAAAAAATACGGTAGTTAAACCTAGTTGAAATACAAACCCTAAAAAACGGGCAGGAGATTTGAGAACTGGTGCATCCCCTTCCCCCAGGTGAGCTCCCCCCAGGATCGCATAAAATTGGTTTGCAAATGAGCTGAGCTATATTTCCCCCCTAGAGGAAGTAGATTGGCCCATTTCTAAACGTCCTCCGCTAATATTTTCTGGGTGCAGCCTCTGCAAGTGGTCAAAGCAAAGAGATGAATGGGATCCTTCTGAGCAGGAGGGGCCCTGTTGCAAGCAGCTGGGTGCTGCCTCCCCAGTCCTCCGCAGCTGTTTCCCTGCTAAGGGAAGCAACGTTGAGCCACAATTTTTTTTCATGCTCCCCCTTTCCACTGAGCCAAGCATGACTGGGCACCTACTGGGCCTGAGCCCAAGAAACTACAGATGCATCCCTTTCGGAAACTGCCGCCAGTTTACGTCGATTGTGTTTAACACCAGTGCTTCCTTCTCCGCCTTCGGCTTCAGGGTTTAAAATTCGTTTCCACTCTTGCCGATACCGTTTTTATGTGCTTCTTAATATTCCTAATCGGCCTCGGTCCAGTATATCTGAAGGAGCGTCTCCACCCCCATCATTCAGCCTGCACACTGAGGTCCAGCTCTGAGGGCCTTCTGGCGGTTCCCTCACTGCGAGATGCTAAGTTACAGGGAACCAGGCAGAGGGCCTTCTCGGTAGTGGCGCCCTCCCTGTGGAACGCCCTCCCACCAGATGTCAAAGACAACAACAACAACCAGACTTTTAGAAGACATCTGAAGGCAGCCCTGTTTAGGGAAGCTTTTAATGTTTGATGTATTACTGTATTTTAATATTTTTTGGGGAAGCTGCCCAGAGTGGCTGGGGAAGCCCAGCCAGATGGGCGGGGTATAAATAATAAATTATTATTATTATTATTATTATTATTATTATTATTCCACACAGAAGCACGGACCGCCCGTGACTCATAGAGGTAGGGCTGAAGGAATGAGGAAATACAACAGGCCCCATAGAATCAGGGGGGACGACCCCCAGTCTACAGAACCTTGGTTCCAGGAGCAGTTTGATGGGACTGTAACACAGTCATACCTCGGTTCGTGAATGGCTTAGTTGTCGAGCAAATCGACTCCCGGACGCCGCAAACCCGGAAGTAAGTGCTTCGGTTTGCGAACGTTTTTCGGAAGCCAAACGTCTGTTTCAGCTGTCAGCATTGTTTCTGGGGCCAATCAGAAGCCGTTGGATTTTGAATGGACTTCGTTCTGGACTTCCAGAACGGATTGAGTTCGAGAACCAAGGTACCACTATACCTGCTAGGACTTCAACCCAAAGTTTGAATTGGATATGCACTTGGCAGTATCCTGCAGGCAAGCAAAGCTTGCAGGAGGTGGAGCAAAAGACCGATATTCTTCCGCGTGACGTCACCATGTCCCGCCCGTTTTACCAGCCCTTCTCCAAGGGATGCCATAAACTCGGGGTATCTCCAACTTATAAAGGAGTCGGGCAGGCCTAGGAAATGCATTCGTCAGGGAAAGATGACAATCAAGGCCGGCCATACCATTGGATGGGCGGGGTATAAATAATAAATTATTATTATTATTATTATTATTGATTCAGGGGATTTTGGGAACAATCTATACGTTATTTGGCTCATCATTATAGCATTTTTGCCCTCATGTAGGGGTTGGGATGGGGGCTAATGTTTTGGTTTTCCGCTTCCATTCCCAAAATGTTTCCGGAGCACCTTGGAAGAAAACAAGGCGCTAATTAAGATGCTTTCTCCCGTGCGAAATTCCCTGTGACATTTAACACCAAAAACGTACTTTTCAAAGAGAAACGACAGAAGATCTTGCTTCTCAACTTTCTAACAAGCACTTAGGAAAGAGCAGTTTTTATGTTGCGAAGGAAACCGAGAAATCGTTTGTTGTTCCACTTCGGTGGCCTAATGAGATAATGCCTCAGTTCTGTTCTAGCTAACGAGGCAGAGCATCTTCACTGAAGCTTTCTGAAAAACCCAGAAATCCCTCTCTCCTAAGAGAGGCGAGGCCTCAGCACTCTTTCGGCAGCTGCACTAATACGGCCATGTTTTTTATTTTTAAGTGATGTCCAACGTATAAAAAGCATAGGTCAGTTTGGAAATAAAGGCATTTACAACGTGCTGCAATCCGCTTCACAGCACTTAGAAGCCTTGTATACAAAGCACCACATCTTCAAGCAGCAAAACACACACACACACACACATGAACCAGTGTTCATTTTTGCAAGGCAACCCGCTGAGCTCTTGGCTCTACAAAGAGGCAGGCGCTGCTTCTGATACTGTAAACATGGCAAAGATGTCGCCTAATGTGTTTGTCGGACTGGGGCTTGGGGCATCATAAACGGAGCGAGTTTTCACGCAGACTAGAGCAGACTTCACCAACCGGGTGCCCTCCAGATGTTCTGGACTACAACTCCCATCAGCTCCAGCCAGATTTGGGAGTCGTGGTTGAAAACATTGAGGGAACCAGGTTGACGAAAGCTGGGCTAGAGACTGTGGGTGGACACCCCTAAATTACACCCCTAAAAGGCTACCAATAGTGTTGTAGTCAAATTACATATGCACAAACATGTATCACAGAATGGTACTCCTCCTACAAAGGAATTGCTAGAATCACAGAATTGTGGAGTTGGAAAGGACCCCAAAGCTTATCTAGTCCAATCCTGTGCAATGAAGGAAGAGGGATGTAAGGCCATTAAGCTCAGAGTCTAAAATAAGGGTGGGAGCCTGTGGTCTTGCAGGCGTCAATGGGCTCCAATTCCTACCAACCTCCAGCCAGCACAGTCAATGCACGGGGCTAACATGATGTGGGGTGTAGCTCAGACCATCACTGGTCTGAAATTAACTGCTTGCATATATACAACTTTTTGTGTACACACACATGCACACCCATAGAAGCTCTGGAAGCACGTTGCAGCGTACTCAGGGACCGACAGTATAATTATATTGCATGCACTTCCTGACGCACGTATTGGAATCACAACAGCTTAAAAATCTGGTGTGGTCTTGTTTACATTACACAAGCGTACAAACCTCCCGCAGGCAAGTGTGAGGATTTGACCTTACACTGAAAGCGGCAAGGAGAAGCTTGTATCGCACATCGTTCAGTCTTACCTCTCAAAGCCTCACTCGATCGATCGCATAAACCAGTCCGCCATCCTCCTTCATCCCTCCTCTGCCATCCTCCTTCATCCTCCTTCTTTCGAACCCCATCCTTTGCCCAGCCACATTCAATCCATCCTCCCAAAATCTCTGCCAGAAGCCGCTTCTTGGCTGTACCCATCTATATGTCAAGTAAGGTCGATGCATGGAAGTGAGAGCTGGACCATAAAGAAGGGTGATCGCCGAAGAACTGATGCTTTTGAATTATGGTGCTGGAGGAGACTCTTGAGAGTCCCATAGACTGCAAGAAGATCAAACCTATCCATTCTTAAGGAAATCAGCCCTGAGTGCTTACTGGAAGGACAGATTCTGAAGCTGAGACTCCAGTACTTTGGCCACCTCATGAGAAGAGAAGACTCCCTGGAAAAGACCCTGATGTTGGGAAAGATGGAGGGCACAAGGAGAAGGGGATGACAGAGGACAAGATGGTTGGACAGTGTTCTCGAAGCTACTAACATGAATTTGACCAAGCTGCGGGAGGCAGTGGAAGACAGGAGTGCCTGGCGTGCTCTGGTCCATGGGGTCCGAAGAGTCGGACACGACTAAACGACAACAACAAGGTTGGTGGGGACTAATTTGACTGTCCCCCGATAACGAGGGTGGCAGCAGGGATGGTTCACTCAAAATAAAAAGTGAATCGCAAGCATACGTTCAATGTCGTTTGGTGCTGCAGGAAGGTGGTTTTTTAAAAAAAGAAATAAAGAGAGGAATGATCTGACTTTGCAAACCCCGTCATAAAGTGTTATTTTGGTTCTTTGGGTGCACAGGGATTATCGTTCCGGACAGGTAACAGGACCCGGGGGTGGGGTGGTATGTGCCACTTTGGGACTTGACAGTAGCTCAAGGTAGCTGTGCCACTGTGTGGATCTAAAGAGCCCTCGTTACTGAACTGTCACGGATACCAGCACCCAAACATGGCTGCCCCTGAATGCGACTCAAAAACAGGCTGGAATTTTTAAAAGGATGGAAGAGGAAAAGAAGACACCAAAGGCAATTTCTGAGCTGACAGAATCACACCTGCCTCGGTCCTCCCCAAAACGGTAAGAGGCCTAAGCAGATCTTAATTATAATAATTGTGCTTTACTTGCTGTTCTAGCAAATGGACTTCAGCCCTTGCCCTCTCTTCTGGAGTGACTGTTACTCCATCCAGCACCTGAAGGTTAGGTAAGTGGAATACGAGGAGCGGGCGGTGGCAAATCTTGCGGGATACCTGGGATGTGGAGAGAAAAGAAGACAGTGGTGAAATCCAGGTGTTAAATCAAGTGCATTTTGCTCACATCCCTTCCAGAGTTTCAGGTTCAGGTTTAGGCCCTACAGTTAGCTAACAGATGTAACATAACACAGCGAAGGCAGATGTAACAAACACAGTGAAGACAGATGTAACACAACACAGCAAAGACAGATGTAACACAACACAGTGAAGACAGATGTAACATACTTAACAGTAAGCACCCATGGAGGGAAATCTTGCTTCTAAACTTGCCATATGCACACGCATATGTCCAAGACAAACTCTGGATCTGCTTTCAGTCTTGTCCCACCCATTGTGCTTTCTAAAAGGCATCATTTTAGAAGAGGCACATATACAATTTAATGACTACTGTCTTGCACTCAAAACATTTCCAGGCTTTCTCATGGATATATTTACTGTCAAATGGTATATGACTTGTTTGGGGATACCAAAACGCACACAAAAAACACTGTACTTAACATCATGAAAATGAGTTCCGAATATTCCAGAATGAGATCATAGAATCACAGAACTATAGAGTTGGAAGGGACCCCAAGGGTCATCTAGTCCAACCCCCTGCAATGCAGGTATCACAACTAAAGCATGTCCGGCCTCTTTGCGAGCACTTCAGTCTTAAGGCAGCATCCTGCGAAGCACTTACTAAATAGATTGTGCATAGTTAATGAGATGAAGGTAAACCTCAGCTTTACTCACCGGATTTCCATATATCGAGAGCTCTTTAATGCATGGAAGACAATCAAGCTTTTCAAGTTCTGACAACTCCTGTCCCAAGATTAAAAAAGGTTGTATTCAAGAGCCATTGAAAGCTTTCCTGAGGAATGCAAGCACTGACAATCTTATGCAGGAATCTTCATACAGCTTTGCTACGGAGCCCTTCAGGGATCAATTTGGGCAGGAATGGGGAGCCTGTGCCCCTCCAACTACTGGAGGACTGCAACTGCCATCAGTCCTAGCCAGCCTGGGGAATGGCCAGGGATGATGGGAGTAGTGGTCCAAAATCTGGAGGGCTACAGATTTCCCAGTCGTATTCCAGTCTATTCAAATCACGACCCCTAATTCCCAGTTGACCATTTGTTGGCTCAATTGTTTCTTGACTGATCTCCCGCTTGGACTACTGCAATGCGCTCTACATGGGGCTACCTTTGAAGGTGACCCGGAAACTACAAGTAATCCAGAACGCGGCAGCCAGACTGGGGACTGGGAGCGGCCACCAAGACCATATAACACCAGTCTTGAAAGACCTACACTGGCTCCCAGTACGTTTCCGAGCACAATTCAAAGTGTTGGTGCTGACCTTTAAAGCCCTAAACGACCTCGGTCCAGTATATCTGAAGGAGCATCTCCACCCCGGACACTGAGATCCAGCGCCGAGGGCCTTCTGGCATTTCCCTCACTGAGAGAAGCCAAGTTACGGGGAACCAGGCAGAGGGCCTTCTCGGTAGTGGCACCCTCCCTGTGGAACGCCCTCCCACCAGATGTCAAAGAGAACAACAACTACCAGACTTTTAGAAGACATCTGAAGGCAGCCCTGTTTAGGGAAGCTTTTAATGTTTGATGTATTACTGTATTTTAATATTTTTTTGGAAGCCGCCCAGAGTGGCTGGGGAAGCCCAGCCAGATGGGCGGGGTATAAATAATAAATTATTATTATTATTATTATTATTATTATTATTACTATCCTAAGAGTTAGCGGCACAAGATCCATTGCAATTAGGGATGGGGCAGAAATTTATTCCAGTCCCCCTTCAAAGGCAAGCCTACCTAATTCACCCTTCCCAAAACAGTGCGTCAATCGAAACACAACCATCCTTTCAAATCTGCACTTCTCCAGAATTTTGCAGTTCTCCAGCCAAGTGTACCAAATAAAATGCATATACCAAGGTAAAGTATGCAATCAAATGCTCACATAACACAGAAGCATGCATTGCATTAGGAAAAATTCATTTGCAAAAAAGGTGTGTTCTAGCCAAAGCTGGATACAAATATGTGATCATTAGGAGGAATTTGCTGATGAAGCTTCAAGAGGGTTTTTTAAAACAAGAATTTGCAAACTGATGCGGAAATTGAAAAACTGCACTTTGGAAAAATGAGAAATGGAGAGAAACCAAAATGGATAGATTTTCTCTTTCCTAACAGCAAAAGACAAGCTGAGTGCAGAATTCAGCACTGGAACCTTTTGCATCCAGCCCTTCCCCAAGTTGGTGCCCCCAGCTGTTTTAGACTGCAGCTCCTACACATCTGGAGGGCGCCAGGTCGGGGGAGGCTTGCTCCGCTCTCTCCCACCAGATCCACTGTACCTGAATTCTATTGAGGCCAAGGAAAAGCTTCTGCAGCTTCACCAAGCAATGCAAATTGTTCAGTTCTCTCAGGCGGTTCTCCTCCAGGTGAAGCGCCACCAGGGAGCTCTGCTTAGCAAACGAATTCTCATGGATTGCTTTGAGTCGGTTATGATCCAGCACTAATTCCTGTAGAAGCTGCAGGCCATCAAGCCCCTCGATCTGGCTGATCTCGTTGCCTGCAGTGGCAAGAGCAAAGGATGTGGGGTGTAACAAAAGCAGTCAAGTACAACACTTCCTGTTTGCCCAGAGCGGACACACAGGGGGATGTTACTCCAGCCAGGAGGACTTCCTGTCATACCTGGTCTCCCCCTGCTTGTGACCAGGTAGATGGGCGTGACCCTGTGAGACCCTGTAAAAAGGGACAGTCACGCAGCCATCCTCCTCTTGCTCTGTTGACTTCTTCAACTCTTGATGCTGTTCTCTTGATGTATTTTGCTGTCTGCTGGCTCTCAGCTAGCAGCACATGGGCTCATATCCCTACATGGGATGAACCCACTCTCTTTCCTGTAACTACAAGCTAAAACCTGCCTTCAGGGAACCTACTGTGAACTGAATGTAAGTAAACTTCTTGTTATACTTTTAAAGAAGACTGTTGTGTCTTTGTTCTTTTGAAGAGGGAACAAAGGGGATTTACCAGGATCAAAACCAATCTGGACAAGCCAGATTGGATTGCTTAAGTTAAAATTTACCTACGAAAGAGGACTTTGTATTTTTATTTTTATTTAGTTTGTTTTTTATTGTAATGTATTATGAAAAGTCTTAATAAAACCTTATAAAATACAACACACACAGAAACACACATATGCACAGTGCTATTTTTCTAGAAAAAGAGGTGCCGGAACTCACTACGAACCCTTGTTCTCTTATATTGGCAATGGCGCCTACCTGAGAGGTGCTGGAACTGAGTTCCGGTGAGTTGTGGCTGGAAAAAAGCCCTGTATATATACACACACAGACACACACAAAACCCCACAGATCAACTGGTCTACCTCTGGCCTTGTTTAGAAGTCTGCAGTGGCTTCTGGGAAGCGAATGGGTAACATTTAGTTGGGGATTATATATACTACAAGCTGAGTCTGCAATCAAATGTTGCTGTGCTCCAACTCAGGGTTCCAGCCCACCCCCCCAGACGTCCTTACAGACCTCTCTTCCATCTCCCCTCCCCCCAAAAAAGGTATCATATGAACACGTGATAATGACTGTTTATACTACTGTTGTTACTTACCCTGTAGGAACAGAAACTTCAGGTTTTTTAGCCTGCTAATCTGCAGCGAGGCCAAACTGGCAATCCCATTGTAGCCCAGATGGAGAACTTCTAAGCTTTCCATGATCGGAGGCAAGCTTTCATTGGCTCCCACGTCCCTGAAACAACAAGGGGACCATGTCAGGGGACAGAGCTCAGCCGCCAACTGCCAAGAAAGAAATTTACATACAGCTTACCCCCACCCCAACGCACAGAGTTTTGCTAGAGCTTTGAAGCAGGGCTGGGCGAGGACACCCCGCTGCTGTTAAAACAGCAGAGCTGGAACCCCCACCACGGACTTCGGGCATTAACATGGAAATCCACTCTTCCCCCAGCAAAATGCCTGACAGGAGGAAAAGTGGAGCAGCTGGAAACTGCTGGTTGCTTCTGTTTAGTAAAAGTTTTATGACAACCCCTTGGCAACAGCCCTTTGCTGCCAGGGCAAAGTGGAGCAAGACATCAGAATGCAATACTTCTGCCGCTCTGCATAGGAAAAGTCAGGGATCGGCCAAATGGAGGTTACTTCTGAGGTTTCGGCGCACTTCCTCTTTACGGGTCTGGCATGCCAGGTTAAGTTAACTGAGGTCCAGCGCTGAGGGCCTTCTGGCGGTTCCCTCGCTGTGTTACAGGGAACCAGGGAGCTTTTACAGGGAGCCAAGTTACAGGGAACCAGGCAGAGGGCCTTCTTGGTAGTGGCACCCTCCCTGTGGAATGCCCTCCCACCAGATGTCAAAGAGAACAACAACTACCAGACTTTTAGAAGACATCTGAAGGCAGCCCTGTTTAGGGAAGCTTTCAATGTTTAATAGGTTATTGTATTTTAGTGTTTTGTTGGAAGCCGCCCAGAGTGGCTGGGGAAACCCAGCCAGATGGGCAGGGTATAAATAATAAATTATTATTATTATTATTATTATTATTACACAGAAGCGCACCCAGGGGAGTGTTCCTGGGTGCATTATCAGCAGGAAGCTTCAGCCATTCCTGGCCCCTTGACAGGCCTACCTGGAGAACGCGCATTTGTGTGCAAACTCACTGGTCATATTCCTACATCGCATTTTTAGGTGTTACAAAAGTTGGGTGCCAACCCTGCTCTCTGCCAAGTGGTGGCAAGAGACTATGAGGTTCCAGGCACTCATTCAGGGTTTTTGTTCCTTTGGGGAACTGAAGATGTAGCAGGGACTGTCACAGCTTTAAGAAATATGGTTTATTCACCCATTTACACCTTCAGTCTGCATGGAAGGAGTCCAAATCACGCCCCTTAAGAGGTGCCACCCGAGGCGGCCGCCTCATCCTGCCTCACGGTTGGACTGTCTGTGCTCTGAAGCACAAAGAGCAAACACTTCCGATGGCCATTGCTATGAGAATACTCATACACAGAAGAGGCCTGAGATGATTACTGAAAGCAGGCTGAAAGGGAGGACTTAATTGCCTTAAGAAGGAAAGGTCGTACTGATACCCCGCGAATCAGACAGTGGAATTAAGCAGTTTTTAATTAACTAAAGGGTTCAAGGACTTAATACCCCGACTGATAAGCCTGATTAAGGTATTTCGGAGATATCAGACCTGCAAAACCCATGCATATCTTTTGCCAGATGTTTCTGAGAAAAGCACAAAAGCCTCACTGTACACCTGGACCAAACTGACCGAGGAGAAGGCTGGACAAAGCAGTCTGATTTTCATAGATTAAGCAGATATAAGGGGCTCACACGTCTGGAACAAAAGGCCGAGATGCAAGAGAGATTCCATTTGTTTTCTCTTCATGCCTCCGCCAGGAACTTGTCCACAGTATCTCAAGGCCTTCGTTTACCAGTCTGGGTCGTTCACACACCAGTTCCCCTCCTCTGCACCCCCATCAGAATGTGCCCCAGAAAAAGCTCCAAATGGAGCTGTTGACTAGGGGGACCCAGGGTGTCTGACTTGGGAAGCAGGCAGCCCCCACTGTAAATGCATAGAAATGGTTCTCCCTCCAGAGACCAACCTCCCAAAGGGGAAGCATCATCCATCTGGGTTTCACAAAGCAACGGTGCTTCTAGATCGGCCTCAGAACACCCGTCCGTCTTCAGCAGCTCCTGCTGGACTTATCTACGCCATACCTGTTTCCTTTGGAAGATCCTTGCTGTCCGTAGCCGCTGGATGTCACTTTCTGGTACAGCAGCTGCCTGTTGGTTAAGTGATTTGAAACCTTCTGCCTGGGAAGGATCGACTCGATGTGATTGTAGTTGAGGCAGAGGACCTGCATAAAAAAAGGGAGTCGGAGGATATCAGGTGAATTCAGTTTGGCCATGTAAAAAGGACCCATAATTGACCCTCTGCGTTGGGTTGTACCAGATGACCCCTTGTGATCTCTTCCAACTCTATAATTTTCTATGATTCTATGACCTAGGATGGGGCAAGTAGCGCAAACAGGGAATAAAGACAGATCCACAGTTCTGACCTGCTTAGTCCTAGGATGTTGTGGACTGGTTAGATGTAGAAGAATGGTGAGAGTGACCAGCTGGGGAACCCCCAAGGGAAGAAGGCTCAGAACCCGGGGAGCGGTGGTGGGACAACGATGAGGGGGCAGAGGGAGAAGGTCTCCCAGAATCAGAAGAGGCAGGAAAAGGGCGGAGAAGAGACATCCAGGCACAGTCTCCAATTGCTTGGGGGGAAATCATGGAGTGGAGGGGACTTGGTAAAGGTAAAGGTAAAGGACCCCTGGATGGTTAAGTCCAGTTGAATTTGACTATAGGGTGTGGCCCTCATCTCCACTTTCAGGCCGAGGGAGCTGGCATTTGTCCACAGACGGAAGCCAGAGCACACAGAAATGCCGTTTATCTTTCTGCCGCAGTGGTACCTATTTATCTATTCACACTGGTATGCTCTTGAACTGCTAGATTGGCAGGAGCTTGGACAATGCAACGGGAGCTCACTCTGTTGCATGGATTCGAACTGCTGACCTTCCGATCAGAAAGCTCAAGAGGCTCAGTGTTTTAGACCACAGTGCCACCCGCATCCCTACAGAGGGGACTTAGGCAGCTGTGAGGAGGTGGGAACCTTCAGTCTCAAGAGCTGCTTAATTAAGCCTGACACTCCTATGCCGATCACGTTTTGGCTAATAAAGAGTTAACTCACACAGTGTGATTTACTGCTGCCTCACTCCTGACAGCAGCCTTTTGAGCCGGGGTGGGAAACCCGTGGCCCTCTGTATCCAGCTCCCATCATCACTGTCCACTGGTCCAGGCTGGCTGGAGCTGATGGGACTCCAAGAACATTTGCAGGGCTGCAGGTTCCCCATCCCTTCTCTAGAACTTCTGAGGCTACTACCCCTGGCTGCTACTATCCTTGACATTGCAAAGCAATGTATGAACTTCACAGCATTCACCCTTATAATAATCCGTGGAGGAGGAGAGAACGAAGACTGAGACGCAAGACTGAAAACTGGGGCATAGTTGTAGTAAATGGTAATAATTTTTTAAAAAGTAAGTCTGAAATAGCCCTCGCACACCCACACCAGGGCCATCTATATCTGCACTCTATTCCCTGTGAATGAGAGGGGAAGAATAGGAAGCACAGATGACTCACCTTGATGTTAGGGAGGTAGACCAGACCACTGAAAGAGGTGAGGTTGTTGTTCTGCAAATTCACGCTGGTGATGTTCTTAAACTGGTCTGCTGGCGCAAGATCCACCATTCTGAGTCAGACAAAGGAAAGAAAGAAAGAAGACATTTAGAGAGGGCAGATGGTAAATAAAACTTGATGCTGTTTCCCGCCCTGAGGAATGCTCTAAGGAAGCACCAACAGAGCTTTTCTTTCCCTTTTCAAAGCAAATGGAAAACATTTTGGGAATTATAGGGACAGAACTACTTAAATCGTACAGAAATTTATTTATGTGTGCTACTACAGCAGCAAGAATGTTACTTGCCCCAAAATGGAAAGAAGCAGAAGTCCCAACAAAGGAAAAATGGATACAAAAACTTATGGAATATGCAGAAATGGTGAAACTTACCGAAGAATAAGAAATCAAGATAACAAACTTTTTATAAAAGAATGGAAATGGTTTATTGAATATTTACAGATAAACTGCAAACAGGTAAAAATTATTATAATAACCTGCAGTTATAGCAAGGTAAAGGTAAAGGTACCCCTGCCCGTACGGGCCAGTCGTGACCGACTCTAGGGTTGCGAGCTCATCTCGCTCAAGAGGCCGGGAGCCGGCGCCGTCCGAAGACACTTCCGGGTCATGTGGCCAGCGTGATGAAGCTGCACTGGCGAGCCAGCACCAGTGCCACACACGGAAACGCCGTTTACCTTCCCGCTATAAAGCAGTACCTATTTATCTACTTGCACTTAGGGTTGCTTTCGAACTGCTAGGTGGGCAGGAGCTGGGACTGAACGATGGGAGCTCACCGCACCGTGGGGATTCGAACTGCCAACCTTACGATCGGCAAGTCCTAGGCACTGAGGTTTTACCCACAGCGCCACCCGCGTCCAGTTATAGCAAGAGTATATATTTAAAGTAGATAAACAAGTGAGCAAATTAAATGAATTTGGATATGCAGAAGATATAAAAAACAATAATAACTTTAAGGAACCGCAGAAAGAGGGGGAAGGAAGTCAAGTTTTGAAATGTTAAAATCACTGTAAAATTAAGGAAATGTATAAACCTGAAAAGTATAAATAAAAATTAAAAGAGACAGAGAAAGAAAACATTGGTCTAGGAACATAGGAAGCCTCCTTACTCCAGGGCAGACCAATTGGTCCAGCTAGATCCATATTGTCTTCTCTGACCGGCAGCAGCAGCAGCCACTCTCCAGAATCTCAGGCAGAGGCTTTCCATGTCTTCTACTCATTATCTATTTAACTGGAGATGGTGGCGATGGAACCTGGTACCTTCTGTGTGCAAAGGCTGTGCTCTGCCATAGAACTACACTCCCTCTCCAGGCATGCAAGCAGTGGCGTAGCAAGGTCAGGTGATACCCGGTCCGAAAAATTTCTTGTCACCCTCCCCGACATTGATTTTTTTTTTTAAAAAAATTGCCTGCAAAAATGGTTTGACTTTATTTCATTTTTTTTGGGGGGGGGGAGACAGAGTTGTTGAGCTTTCTTTTGCGGAGATCGCATGCCTTGCGACGAGGAGTCTACCTACCACCCTACAGGGCAGAGTCTACCTACCTTGCTCCGCCCCTGCGTGCAAGTCCAGCTTAGAGCAATTCCAACCACTGCATGTTTCATACACACACACAAATCAAGGCACCAGCCCTTTCATTAAAAGCAGCCAGTTCCCAAAAGCCTGCTGGAATAAGGAGGTCTTCTTCACATACCAGTGGAAGGACAGCAAGGAGGGAGCCAGGCTGGCTTCTCTAGGGAGCTTCCCATCCCTAGCCAGGCATGGTGGGAGCTGTACTTTTTCATAGAATCATAGAGTTGGAAGAGACCACAAGGGCCATCGAGTCCAACCCCCTGCCAAGCAGGAAACACCATCAGAGCACTCCTGACATATGGTTGTCAAGCCTCTGCTTAAAGACCTCCAAAGAAGGAGACTCCACCACACTCCTTGGCAGCAAATTCCACTGTCGAACAGCTCTTACTGTCAGGAAGTTCTTCCTATTGTTTAGGTGGAATCTTCTTTCTTGTAGTTTGGATCCATTGCTCCGTGTCCGCTTCTCTGGAGCAGCAGAAAACAACCTTTCTCCCTCCTCTATGTGACATCCTTTTATATATTTGAAAATGGCTATCATATCCCTTTTTAAAGGGATTCAGGGACAATTAGTGGTAAGCGCCGATGTGTGGTTTTAGGAACTCTGCTGACAATCAGAGCTGGGCAGCTGCCCACAGTCCTTGTCACTCGTGTTAAAAATATTACTGACCTGATCATAGAGGCCGTCCAATTTAATTCTTGCATTTTGCTGAAGTTGGAATGGCCCAGTCTTTCCGCAACCATATCCGCATTAAGTTTGCCCCCAAATAAATCTTTAGCGTTTTCAGTTTCAGCTGCTTCCTGCATTGAGGACATTAATTTATTTATTTTTAACTGAGAGCCGAAATGAAAGTTAGAAGATTGAAGCTGGATGTTGGAAGATTCAGGAGAGAGATAAGAAGAAAGTCGTTATTTGCAGAGTGTACACAGCACATCTGCGTCCGCTCTTTTCTCCTGGGCCGTGTTCAGAAAGTGGTGTTGGGGGATGAGTATTCAGACCCCTGGGCTCTCACTTGTGGGGTGCCTCAGGGTTCCGTTCTCTTCCCCCATGCTTTTCAACATTTACATGCAGCCGCTGGGAGAGATCATCAGGGGGTTTGCGCTGGGTGTCCATCAATATGCGGATGATACCCAGCTCTACCTCTCAAATCAGAACCAGTGAAGGCGGTGAAGGTCTGGAGGCGGTTGGAGGATGGATGGCAGCTAACAGATTGAGGTTGAATCCTGACAAGACAGAAGTACTGTTTTTGGGAGACAGGAGGCGGGCAGATGTGGAGGACTCCCTGGTCCTGAATGGGATAACTGCCCCTGAAGGACCAGGTGCGCAGCCTGGGAGTCATTTTGGACTCACAGCTGTCCATGGAGGCGCAGGTCAATTCTGTGTCCAGGGCAGCTGTTTATCAGCTCCATCTGGTATGCAGGCTGAGACCCTACCGGCCCACAGACTGTCTCACCAGAGTGGTGCATGCTCTAGTTATCTCTTGCTTGTACTACCTTTGAAGGTGACCTGGAAACTACAACTAATCCAGAATGTGGCAGCTAGACTGGTGACTGGGAGTGGCCGCCGAGACCACATAACAGTGGTCTTGAAAGACCTACATTGGCTCCCATTACGTTTTTGAGCACAATTCAAAGTGTTGGTGCTGATCCTGAAAGCCCTAAACGGCCTCGGTCCAGTATACCTGAAGGAGCGTCTCCACCCCCATCGCTCTGCCCAGACACTGAGGTCCAGTGCCGAGGGCCTTCTGGAGGTTCCCTCACTGCGAGAACTCAACAATTTTTGGGGTGTCCTGGTTTTTCCTTTTTGAAATATGGCAACCCTACATTTGCCCCAAGGTCCCAATATTCAACACAATATTCAACAAAGCACAATATTCAACACTGACTCTGTATTCTCTGATTGGGGCTGACTGCCTTCTTTGCTTATAAGACATAAAAGTTTTATACATATCCTTTATGTAGAAAAGGAGCTCACCACTGCGGTACCGTCCAAGGCTTTCAGAGATGGGATATGGAAAATTACAAAGAGGCGGTAGTTATCCTGCTTCCAAACGATCAGGTTTCCATACATGTCCAGGATGACCAGATTGTTTAGACCCTGGAAAAGAAGGCTGGTGTTATCAAGCGTCTGGTTCTCCCACTTTCCACCTTTCCACTGTGTGAACCCTACTAGTACGGAGTTGGATGCTCCAAGCTTAGACCACATGGCTTAAGAAAGCCATCTTTGTGTTTCTATACAATTTAGAAACTAAGTCTTACTGCCTGTGTTTTCTTACTGCCGTATGGAAAAGCACATGAATCTGACCTTTGAAGAGTCTGTAAGTAAACCACTTTTAACCTACCAAACATGTGATTTCTTTCTACATTAAAGGAAGTAAGGGGAACTTTGGAAGCAACTTAGAAGGGGATATATTTATTGTTGTAACAGCTTATATTTCCAAGCATTACTTTGCTGTATACTTTGTGATTTTAAATCTCTACTGGGGCTCTCTCACCAAAGAGCACTGGCCCCAAACCTGGATCTAGCCATCCAGAGAATTCTATTTTTATAACACTACCATATTTTATATTTAACCAAATACCAAAAACAAGAATTTCAAAGAATAGCTGTGTTTCCATTTGAGGGGTAACAGACTCAGTGGTTCACAATCCCTTCTCTTTGGCATGACACTACATACCCACAAGAGTTTCATTCAGGTAGGTAGCCATGTTGGTCTGATGCAGTCGAAAATATATAAAAAAATTGTCCAGTAGCACCTTAGAGACCAACTCAGTTTGTTATTGGTATAAGCTTTCATGTGCATGCACACTTTTTGAGATACACTGAAACAGAAGTCACCAGACCATTATACAGTGGTACCTCGGGTTACGTACGCTTCAGGTTACATATGCTTCAGGTTACAGACTCCGCTAACCCAGAAATAGTGCTTCAGGTTAAGAACTTCGCTTCAGGATGTGAACAGAAATCGTGTTCCGGCGGTGCGGCGGCAGCAGGAGGCCCCATTAGCTAAAGTGGTGCTTCAGGTTAAGAACAATTTCAGGTTAAGTACGGACCTCTGGAACGAATTAAGTACTTAACCTGAGGTACCACTGTATATAGTGGGAGGGTGGGGTGGGGTTTTTCTCAGGAGGGTAGTAGGAGATGGGTGATTGACTTTCATTCACGCTTTTAAAGTGACGGTGTCCCCCCCCCTTTACCTTCAGCTGATATATTTCTTGGTTGGAGGAAACGTAGTTGTTGCTTATGTAGAGTTCAATGAGCGCATAGGCTTTTTGCAAGCCCGCCAAAGAAGTGATCCGGTTGTTCTCCAGAGAGAGATAATGGAGGTGAGACAAGTTATCAAAAACATTCCTCTCCAGGCTGGTGAGGTGATTGTTGTTGGCACTCAACCTCATGAGCTTGCAGAGCTTCGAAATGCCTGGGGAAGGGGAAGAAAGAACGTTTCTGGCGAGAGCTGTGACACAAGGGAGCGAGCTTTCTCTGTGGCTGCTTCCATATTGTGGAACTCCTTCCCTTAACAACAACAACAACAGTGATGAAGGCCAAGTCCTTCCTGTTCAGACAGGTCTTTGAAAACCGAAGTGCCGATCACCGGGCTTCCGTCAAGGCAAACTATCTTAACTGCTGGTTCTAAATGTATTTTGGTGTATTTTAACTCTTCCTAGAAATGTGGAGTCAGAAGGTGTCCCATGAGTCATCTAGACCAACCCCCTGCAAGGCAAGAATCTCAACTAACCAGAAATATTGCTCTTAACCAGCTTTTCACTATGCATTTGAGAACAATGTTTTGTAGACGTTGGAAGCCACCTTGAATCCTGGCTTGGGGAAGAGGCGGGACAGTCGTATCTCGGAAGTCGAACGAACCTTTTGGCTCCCGAATGCCGCAAACCCGGAAGTGATTGTTCTTTGGAAACTATCATGGCTTCCGTGGCTTTCGATTGGCTGCAGGAGCTTCCTGCAGCCAATCGGAAGCAGCGCCTTGGTTCCCAAACGTTTTGGAAGTCAAATGGACTTCTGGAACGGATTCCGTGGGACTTCAAGGTACCACCATATATTTAAGTACAGTACATTAAGTAACTAAATAAACCGACGACGACGATTATTTCTCAAGCGGAGGCAGAGAAAGCAAGGCAAAGGGACAAAATTGTCTGCCTCCCCCCCCCCGGCAAATTAAATAAATGAATAAATAATAAAAAACTGGCAACCCAACTGAGCAATAGGCGTGGCTTCCGCGAACTGACCAATCACATCGCAGGGAGCTTGGTTCTGGAAGCTTTTCATCGTTTTCAGCAAATCCGAGAAAAGTTAAGATTTTTTTAAAAATAAGATAAAAAAAGGTGTGCTCTTTGTAATTTTGCAAAATATTCTCTTTAACCACATGAAAGGTACACCCTGGTGTTAATTATTAAAAATTTGACTAGTTTTAAAATGACTGAAGGTTTTGACATATTTCTCAGAGCACTGGTGGTCAAAAAAAAGTAATTTAAAACAACTGTTGTTCCTAGGAAACTGGGAATTATGTTCACATGTGGCGGGGGTATAAATATGTACAATTTTTCTAGCAAAGGGTGTTTAAGAAGATAACAGAAATCAAAAGTCCAGAGGTAGCATTATTATCAATTTACCATGGGGTGAAAGGTTCGCAGGCTATGAAGGACCCGCTCACAAATTTATTGACAGCTGCACAAATTATTATATGTAGGAAGTGGAAGGGGCAAGCAGAATATAAAAAGGAAGAATGGTATAAAGAGGTGTGGGATATAGCTATTAATGATAAATTAACGTGTGCCATTAAGGTAAGATGGGGAATACCCAGGAGAAATGATTTTGAGGAGATATGGAGGGTGTTTGTAGAATTTGTAAAGTGCTAGCTCTAGTTACGGACTCGATCCATTCCGGGGTGCCATTTGCACCCCGAAAAGTCCGCAACTAGAGCACGGCTTCTGCGCATGCGCATGGCGCGATAGAGTGTTTCTGCGCATGCACGCAGGGCAAAACCTGGAAGTATACATTTCCGGGTTCGCTGCGTTCGTATCCTAAAAAACACAACCGGAGACTGACGTAACAAGAGGTACAATTGTACTGTTAAAACGGAAAGGGGTCAAACAATCGCAAGAGGTGCTGAAATTTTAGGAGGTTGGATAGTTGCAATGGAATGGTCTCGGTGGTAGGGTGCACATTTTTATTCTTATTTATGTATGATTATTACTTTGACAAAGTAAAATGATGATGATAATAATAATAATAATAATAATAATAATAATAATAATAATATATGGATGTGAGAGCTGGACCATAAAGAAGGCTGATTGCCGAAGAACTGATGCTTTTGAATGATGGTGCTGGAGGAGACTCTTGAGAGTCCCATGGACTGCAAGAAGATCAAACCTATCCATTCTGAAGGAAATCAGCCCTGAGTGCTCACTGGAAGGACAGATCCTGAAGCTGAGGCTCCAAGACTTTGGCCACCTCATGAGAAGAGAGGACTCCCTGGAAAAGACCCTGATGTTGGGAAAGATGGAGGGCACAAGGAGAAGGGGACGACAGAGGACGAGATGGTTGGACAGTGTGCGCGAAGCTACCAGCATGAGTCTGACCAAAGTGCGGGAGGCAGTGGAAGACAGGAGTGCCCGGCGGGCTCTGGTCCAGGGGGTCACGAAGAGTCGGACATGACCAAACGACTAAACAACAACAACAATAATAAACAAACAACTGTTGTTGAGACACTTCATTCCGAATCTGCGAGAAAGAGACAGAGGATGGTGACGGGTGGCTGTCCTGCCCACGCTGTAACATAAATCCTGGCTACACCCATGGACCCAAAAACAATTCAGAAGCCAGTGCCATCGAGTATCAAGGGCCCTGAACTGAAAGCTGCCCTTTCGAAGCACTGCTTCTCCAAGGCGGACAATCATGTGACGCCCTTCTTCTCCAGGAAATGGCAAAGCTCTTGCAAAAGCTGCCGCTGTGCAGAAGTGCTCCTGGCCCCGGCCTCCTCCCTGGGAGCAGAGCCAAGTCCAGGAACGCCCAAAGCTGTGGATATTCGGAACGGAGCATGCAAAATACCTTACCCTCGAGGGTTGTGATGCAGTTTCCATCTACCGTGAGCTCCTCCAGATTTTGGCAAGTATCCAGCCCTTCTATTTTAGTGAGGTTGTTGTTGCTAAAGGATGCCCACCGCAAATTCTCCAGTTTGTCCAAGCCACTGATTCTGCTGAGATGTTGCCCGTCAAGGTCTAACACCGTGATCTGTTAGGGCAGGGGGAGGGGGGGGAGGAGAAAACACAATCATAACTGTATAATTCTGCTGAATCAATGAATTCGGGATTCTAGGTATGAGAGTCATCAGTGCACATGATGTTTGGTGCACAGCCTATCCTACCCTGAACGACAGACAGGAGCATATTTTATCTCGCTGAATTTCACTGAGTCTTTTCTTCTTGTATAAAGCGACTAACAACTGTAATAAATAATAATACAGTGGTACCTCTGGTTGCGAACGGGATCCGTTCCAGAGGCCCGTTCGCAACATGAGCAGAACGCAACCCGCGTCTGCGCAGCTGCGGGTTGTGATTTGTCACTTCTGCACATGCGCATGTCGTCATTTTGCGTGTCTGCGCATGCGGCGAAACCCGGAAGTAACCCTTTCCGGTACTTCTGGGTCGCCGTGGGACGCAACCTGAAAACACTCAACCTGAAGCAAACGCAACACAAGGTATGACTGTAATGATAATAATAATCACTATTTCTATAGTTCAGTTTCTGTGAGTGTGTTTGCACATTGGGTGCTGCATTTAAACAATAATGTACAGAGGCTAATACCTGCCTAAATTTCGACTGATCGCCAACACTTTAAAATTTCTTATTGACACTTTAAAAAAGGATAAACCATAAAACGCAGTGCTGCTATGCTGATTTATATCTCATTACTTGCTTTCATCTTCACAATAATGTGGGAATCTAGCTTCCCAGGATTCCCATTTTACAGAGGTGGAGACTGAGGCAGTGAGACAGCGGCTTTCAAAAGATTCTCCCGTGGACAGGTAACTGAGGTGTGTTATGGACCCATCTCTCTGAAACCCAGTAACTACCTCCGCAACAACCCCCAGAGGTTTCTCTTTTCGCCGCTTGTTGCAATGCATATATGTTTTCAGCAAAAATGCGTCCTTCCCCCGATACGAATCACCTTTGGCACCGATGTCACACAGTGTAATGTTGACACCATGGGCTGAAACGTCCGCCTCTCTTGGCAGCCTCTGTGAATGCGCTTCCCTTAATGTACAAAGAGCAGAACGCTATGCTCATCTGCCCAAATGTGTTCTCCTCTAGCTATGCTATGCGCCGCGCAACAAATCGAACTGACAGAGGAGCTTTTAACCTTTTCTACATGGCAAATTAACATGATTCTGGATGATGGGCCGCAACACAGACTGTGACAGGTCGGGGTGCCTGAGGATCTCCCTGGACTGCCTTGTCCAATGGCCTTATTTTGTGGAACGGACTACGAACGGTGGGTGGTCATTGAGGAGGGAGAATGAGAACTGTGCCCCCGTGCACTATGCTGAAAGGAGCTGGACCTGAGGTTTGTCCAGAGAGCTTGGGAAATGGTTGCCTATCAGTCAGCTTGATGGACCGTTAGCCTGACTGGTCAGAGGAAGGCGGCTCCATTATAACCACAAACTGCTTACTCTGAGATGGAGCCACGGAAGGGATTTTGGAACAGTCTGCTTTTATCTTATCTGTCAAACGCAAACTTTTCCGTTCCACCTGCTTCGTTCCAAAAAATCATTCCCAGTGCCCCCTACCCTTATTCAGAATAGCTGTTTCCACGAGCCACTAAGGTAAGATAATGACCCAATAAAATTCCAAAAAAAGTAGCAGCTAATTGCACACTTATTTAATTAAAGCTAGTTTATTTACTGTATTTTTCGCTCCATAAGACACACATTTTTCTTCCTAAAAAGTACGGGGAAATTTGAGTACGTCTTATGGAATGAATGGCGCTGCACAGAGAGGGAGAGCTGCGCAGCACCCCTTCATTGAAGTGGGAGGAGGAACGGAGCCCCTTCTGTTCCTCCTCCTGCTTCGCTGAAGGGGCGCTGTGCAGTTCTCCCTCTATGCGCAGCGCCTGTCCTGGAAGCCAAAGGAGGAACAGAAGGGTCTCCTTCTGTTCCTTCTGCAGCTTGGCTGAAGGGGCGCTGCGCAGTTCTCCCTCTCAGAGAGGGAGAACTGCGCAGCGCCCCTTCAGTGACGCACCTGTCCTGGCTTCTGCCTTAGCCCCGCGCAGCCTCTTCCGGGCAGGGGGAGCCTTCATCCCGCTGCCCTGAAGACGCTTGGCGCGGTTATCCCAGAAGCCAGAACAGCCACGCATTATCCCAGAAGCCAGATCCCTCTTGCTGTTCTGGCTTCTGGGATTCAGAATAATTTTTTCTTGTTTTCCTCCTCCCAAAACTAGGTGCGCCTTATGGTCTGGTGCGTCTTTTGGAGCGAAAAATACGGTAATTCAACAAAACCTTATGAACTTGATGCAGTGATGCCAGCCTTCCAAAGGCTGACAGTTGTCTACACCTCCAGCAGCCCCCTTGCCTCTAGCACCCCCCTAAATCATCCTACTGACCCCCCCGGGGGGGCAGTACTGCCCACTTTGGGAGCCACAGCATTAAAGAGACCCTGCTATCTTTTTCTCCTACGGAGTGGAGGGGAATCTGGTTCTAAGAGGCTTCTGAGGGAGAGTCCTCTAGAGTTAGAGAATGGCAATGGGGGTGGCACAGCAGGCCCCAGAAATGGTGGACCCGCTCACAAAATTTCAGGAGATCTGATTTTACGAGCACGTGGTATTTGATAAGGTTTTCCCTTTACCCGAGAAGGCCAGTTGTTCTGAAACACGTCCACTCTGTTCTTGCTAATCTGGGTCAGGATCACGGCCTGAGGAAGGATGCTCAGTATGCGAAGCCTTTCTTGGTCCGTCCGAGAATTCTCCACCAGAGACGCCTGGAGGAACGAAACCACCAAAATGAAGGCAAGCAGCAGACGAACGCGCAGTTTCGTAACCCAATCGAATCACCCTTGGAGACATTTTTAAAGCAAATGTGTGAGTGGGGATTTCTCCCCCTCTCCCAACCTTGCTAGAGCAGGCTCGTTTTGCTCATTTCTGGGTAGGCCAAGCATACTTTCGGCTTTCTATAGAAGAGTCTGGATTTGATATCCCGCGTTATCACTACCCGAAGGAGTCTCAGAGCGGCTAACATTCTCCTTTCCCTTCCTCCCCCACAACAAACACTCTGTGAGGTGAGTGGGGCTGAGAGACTTCAGAGAAGTGTGACTGGCCCAAGGTCACCCAGCAGCTGCATGCGGAGGAGTGGGGAAGCGAACCCGGTTCACCAGATTACGAGTCCACCGCTCTTAACCACTACACCACACTGGCTTTCCAGTGTGTAAAGCTTGCAAGGTGGATGAAGAAACTCACTGGTGGAGAGACCATCAGCTTAACAGAAAACTAGCTCTGCCTACCTCAAGGGTGGGGAACCTGTGGCTCTCCCAGCTGTCACTGGACTGCAACTCCCATCATCCCTCGCTATTGGCCCATGCTGGCCGGGACTGATGGGAGATGGAGTCCAATAGCACACGGAGGCTTCCCAACCCAACCAAACTGACCACTGTTCTGACTTCTCCCCCATTCTGTTTATGGACCCTCTAAAACAAAAAGCTGTTCCTGCAGTCTGTGGGTCTGCAGCTCAGAGTATGGGGTGGTTGTGGAAATCTTGGTGGACATACGTACAGGACCCAAATGGATCTCCTGTTGCACATCCTTTGCGCATCCCCTCTTGGGAATGCCCACAAAACAAAGTCTGGTCAGAACTGAGTAGACACTTTCAGACTTAACGCTAAATCCTGGCAAATGAGCCGCCCAAGCCGCTAGAGGGCCTTGAAAATTTGTGTCCCGGGCTTCTTCGACTCGTCCACCCATGTACTATCTGAAACTCAAAGGGCACATGCGTCGTCAGGCGTGAAATATATTGGCATTATTTCCAGTTCTGCTACCCCACTCAGGGCCGTCTTTACCCGGGGGTGCAAGGGGTGCGGGGCACCCAGACGCCGAATTCGGGGGGGGGGGCGCCAGGCGCCTGCCGCTGAAGCTGCCTAATCTCTTCACTATCTACCTGTTATGAAATAAATAATTTTGATCAAGCTAAAAAAACAAAATACATATACGCCTAGGTATTACCGAAATGTATACCTACTGTTTCACTAAAGGACTTTCGACTTTGTGCACTCATTTACCAAACATGTGCCGTGCCAGCGGTGGCGCCTGTCATTCACAACGGCGCCGTGCACGTGAAATTTAGGGGTGCTGGGCAGATCTTTGCACCCCGGCGGTGCATATGCTAAAGACAGCGCTGACCCCACTACACCTTGCTCCCCTCCCTCCAAAGGTTTGCCCATGAGGAGATGCCCCACTCGGGCCATGAACTCTTCGTTGCCACTGCCTTAAATGAGCAAACAAACCCAGGCTGTCTAACCTGCGTGATTTTCGAGTCTGCCATGAACTGGATGGCAGCTGCCGCCTCATCCTCAGTGATCAGAAGTCCATCGAGGTGGGTCAGAGCCCTCAGCTGGCCAATCACACTCAAGCGTACGGAGGCTGGCTGGGGGGGGGGAGAGAAAAACAAGAGTGGGATGACCTTGGACGGAAACATTCAGTGGTGTGGAATGTATCTTCACTGAAGCAGTCAAGTACAACATTTTCCTGTTGCCTAGAGTGTGTTGGGAATCAAGCCTTTATCAGGAGAAACTGGCCACTCTCCAGGCACCCGGCTTGATCTCCTGTTGACCTCCCTGTCTGCATTCCCCAGCAGGATCCAGGCAGAGGTCGCGATAGGCGATCCTTCTCAGAGTGAGAAGAACACCCCCTCTTTCCTGCCCCCAGGCAGGAAAGAGATAGACAGAAACGTATTTACATTCCTTTATTTCTGTCTTTGCAGCGTTACAAAAATCATGACTGCTCTCTTCAAGCTCCAGCAGTCGAGAGACAAACTCCACCTGTACTTCCTGTACAGCTCATATTACACTCTGAGCTAATTCCGGTGCCCTCTGCACTGTGAATTGACTGTCCCTCTGTTTCCCACGGAACAGTCCCAACATTCCCATTATGTTTTGCTTTCAAGCTACCAGCTCGCGGCCGCATTGCTTCTATATCGTAACATACTCCCCCATATGAATCAATGTGCGCTGCGAGCAAAGCGTGATCCAGAGAAGAAAACAAACAGTTGTTATACATATAACACTCGCCTGTTGTTTCAGTTCCACCCTTGGAACTACCCGCCACTGGTTTCCCCAGTGTACCTCTCTGGTTGTCTGTCTTCCAAGGAATGAGTGCATCTGCATTACCTTGGCTAGGGAATGTAGTGTTACGCTTAGCAACTCTCTGTTGTGTCTTTGTCTCTGACTTAGACACAGCTTCAACCTGTCTTGAGTTGTCTGCAATAGTAACACATGCTACAGCTGAGTTAGCAAACTCTTTTGAATACCTCTTGGGTGGTACACCCTTTGTAACTCTCTCGGACCTGCGTATGAGGTGCTGATCCTCTCTGCTCACTGGTTCAGTCTCAGGACTCTTTGGAGAACCAGTTCCAATAGTAAACAGTGGTACATCCTTCACCTGTGAAGGTCTATCCATTGTGTGAGATTTCCTCTCAATGACTGTGTCAACTGAGCTCTTTGAGCTATCACTGTCACTCTCAGTACCACTGTAATCAGTAAAATCATCATCATCATCTGAATTGTCCTCAGTGGGAAATGTGTGAACAATTACTCTCTCCTGTTCAGGAGCACTCTCTAGAAATTTTGTGAGAATCACTTGACCAGATTCAGACAAAATTACTCTGTAGAGACCCTTTTCATAACCCACAAAAATGCCTCTAGCATTCTTTACTCCACCTGGAGCATCAGATTTCACATGAGACCCAAAAACCTTAAAATGGGCAACAGAAGGTTTTCTGTGGAATAGCTTTTCAAAAGGAAAACTTCCGAAACCTTTTGAAACCTTTCTCATCCAACTGTAACAAAAACACATTAACGATTCTGCCCAATACTCATGTGGCAAATGTGAACTCAGCAATCGCGCCTTCATGCCATTTTGCAATTCTTTGTTCACTTGCACACAGACACTTCTGTTCCATGCTTCTGCAGAAACAGCAGTCTTGTGCCTTATGCCTCGCTTATCCAGGAAATCCTGAAAATCCTGCAAAAGAAAAACTGGCTTTTCATCTGTGAAAAGACAATCAATGTTAGCATTATGAACATCCTTAACCTTGTCACAAAACTCTTTAAACCTTTCTAAGGCTTCTTGTGGTTTCTGCAATATATATACCCACACATAATGAGAGAAATAATCCACACACACAAGATAATATCTTGCATTGCCTCTAGATGGTGCTAGAGGACCAATCACATCAGCATACACTCGCTGAAAAGCTTTGGTTACTTTTGTCGTCTTCTGGACGTTTTTCGACACACCTGCGAGAGAAATCATGTTAGACTCAGATGCATTACAACTTATGCAATCACTTTGATCAAAAGTCAACAAATACAGTCCATCTTTCTCTCTGGCAGAAAGATACAGCTCTCCATCTTTGAAGATTTTGCAGCTTTCTCTATCATAGGACAAAGTCAGTCCTTTCTTTGTGATCTGCGAAACACTCAGCAGATTGAACTTTAAATCAGGAACCAAATACACATTGTTAATAGTCAAGTTCAGACTTTCAAGATACACAGTTCCAAACCCGGTCGCTTCCAGCTCCTGACCGTTGGCTTGTTTCACAGTGAGGCTTTGCATCTTAAACGTTGAAAACAGATCTCGCCGCGACGTCATGTGTTGCATCGCTCCAGTGTCCAAAATAAAAGCGTTCTCCGTTGAAAATGCGGCTTTTGTTGGCAGCAATGCCTTTGCAGGTTTCACCTGGGACTTGGTACGACTTTTGCCTGATGCCTCAGGCTTTGCAGAGCTCCCCTTAGCTCCTTTCTGTTGACGTGGCTTCTTACAATTCCGCTGAAGATGCCCAGTCTGTCCACAATTGTAACAATGGACAACGTTCAAAGCAACAGCCTGTTCTTCACTAGCAATAGCAGTGGGGGTGTCAGAACTCCGAGCTTCTCTCCCCCTGTCTTTGACATCTATTGCAGCAAGTACAGGAACAGCAACAGTTCCTTCACTCCCCCTTTTGGGGTCAAAGCTCTCCTCAGCTTTCGATGAGCTTTTAGGAATTTGGCCAGCACCATCTTGGCTCCCCTCTTCTGGGGTAGTACACTTTCGGCTCTTGCTTCTCACTCCAGCTTCACAAGCTTTTCGGAGCTTCTGAGAGAACAAAGCCATCTCAATCTCAAGCCTCAGCTTTCAGCAGTGAGCTTGTAAAATCCAAGAGTCTATTGGCTGTTTACTGCCTCACTTGGCAGCTAAACGCAGGCTGTTTTGAAAGTCCCTCCAAGAGCAGTGAGATAATAGACAAAACAAACGCTGTTTACCAGCCTCTCACAGTCCCAGCCCCTCTTCCGTTGTTGGCCAGTAACTTTCCACTTTACTGACGTTTCGTTGCTTAGCAACTGGACATTCCAGGCTTATCAAGACTCAGGTATGCGAAATATGTGGCTCTCTTTCAGTGCTGGTTTCATCCAAAAGCAGACACTCAGTGAACCGAAGAATGCTTCAATTCGCGTTCACTCTCACAGCCATAAAATCACCATACCTTGAGGGAATCCGTTGCTCAGCAAAAACACCTCCTCCGGTGCTCAGCCGTCCTTGTAGCTTCCATCCGCACGCTACCATATCTTCCTTATCTCCTTGCAGAGGATGAAGTACGATCGATCAACCTCTCTTGCTGCTTGAATGGATCAAAACCATCGGCTCCGTGCTACCAGATGTTGGGAATCAAGCCTTTATCAGGAGAAACTGGCCACTCTCCAGGCACCCGGCTTGATCTCCTGTTGACCTCCCTGTCTGCATTCCCCAGCAGGATCCAGGCAGAGGTCGCGATAGGCGATCCTTCCCAGAGTGAGAAGAGCACCCCCCCTCTTTCCTGCCCCCCCAGGCAGGGGAAAGAGATAGACAGAAACGTATTTACATTCCTTTATTTCTGTCTTTGCAGCGTTACAAAAATCATGACTGCTCTCTTCAAGCTCCAGCAGTCGAGAGACAAACTCCACCTGTACTTCCTGTACAGCTCATATTACACTCTGAGCTAATTCCGGTGCCCTCTGCACTGTGAATTGACTGTCCCTCTGTTTCCCACGGAACAGTCCCAACATTCCCATTATGTTTTGCTTTCAAGCTACCAGCTCGCGGCCGCATTGCTTCTATATCGTAACAGAGTGGACACACAGGGGGATGTGGCTCCAGCCAGGCAGGACTTCCTGTCATACCTGTTCTGGAGCCACCTCTCTTTGTGTTTGACCAGGTAGGTGGGCATGACCCTAGCTGACTCTGTAAAAGGGCTAGCCATGCCGCCATCTCCCCTTTTTCCATTTTCTCCTTTCAAGCTTCTCTCTATGTGATGGCCTGGGAATCGGATTCAGAGACTGAACCTGAGGAATCCCAGCCTGCACAGGAGTCCCCGCCTCCAGGACCGGCTGAGCCGGGGCTGGGGCTTGAACCTGAAGGGCCCTCACCTGTGCCGGATCCTCAGGAGCAGACACCAGCTGAATCTGCTCTGGCTCCGGAGGTGATCAAGGACCCATTGCCTGCAGGTGCTCCACTCTCAGCCCCGTCAGGGGAAGGTGAGGTTGCCTCTGGGTCCAGTAACTCTCCAGCCTCTCCTGAGCTGCACATGAGTCTGAGAATGTTCTGATCAGTTCCCATTGAGTTCATGAAACAGTGTACCTTGACCTGTTCTTAACGCATTGTTGACCACATCTACGGAATACAATTGTTATGTTCTCTCAAGTCTTGTTATAATCAATCACTAGTTATAATTTAATTAGGAGGTTTCATGCCCGTCTAGTTCTGTGCTCCCTTTCCCAACCTTTAATCTATTGGTGATTAATGTAATATGTAACCTTTGCTTTGTACTTGTGTTAACCAATCAGCAATAAGCACATATGTGGCAAATGCTGTAATATTCAATAAAAGGGACTTTCCGAGACTTGCTTGAGAGATGCCTCCCGTATGACACCTTGCTATTCGTCTGTCATTTACTTCAACCCAACAGAGATAAAAGCCAGTCAGCCCAGTCCCAGGTTGTGGGAGCAACATTGTTGGCAACCTGTTCCTGCCAGCACCCTGTCCTGCTCTTCTGCCAGAGTTCCTGACCTCACCCGACTCCCTGCCTTGGACCCCACTTCAGCCTTGACGGACAGCCCCCATACCACACCCTTAACCTCGGACTGGACTCGGACCATGCCGCGCGATAACCCCCCAGGACCAGCACACTCTTGGACCTCCTCTTCTGGCTCTTAGCCAGCACAAGGCTCATCCTTACAGAGGATGGAAGCCACAAGGAAGAAAGTCTGAAGCCCAGCTCAGACTTCTTTTCTCTACAAACGTAACTGTAACCACAAGATAAAGCCTTTCTTCAGAGCACTGCTGAACTGAATGTAAGCAAACTTTACTCTTGCTTTTAAAGAAGACTGTCGTGTTATTATCTTAAGAGGGAAATAAAAGGGGAAACTTACCTGGAACAAGCCAGACTGGACAAGCCAGATTGGATTGCTTAATTTAAACAATTCTAATGAATCCATCAACTTGCTTCCAGCAATCTGCAAGGAAATGTGCTCTGCTGCTTGCTCGCTAGCGTGAGTGAGGAGGGATAATATTTAATCAATGTATCCTCTCCTGCTTGCCTCAACATTCCCGCAGGTGGTGGCTCCTACCCCAAAGTGCAAGTTATCTCAGGCCCTGCATTGGTCACCTTCCATGGACAGCTTAAGAACATTTGTGTTTACCGAGGCGTAGGGATGGAGGAAATATGCGACGCCATTTGCATTTTATTGAGAAGCTACCAGTTAGTCCTGCCTTATGGCTATATTGCTTTTAGTTCTTTTATTAGTTCTTATTTATGTTTTGCTGTTTATTCCTCTTTGGCCCATCTTATTGGGAAAGCAACGTATAAACGATTGAGGGTGCAATGAGATTAAGGGCCACTATCTGAACGATAATCTTGGTCATTTGATTGCCCTTTTTACCCATTGCTGTCTTTTTATTTGTATACAGTGGTGCCTCGCAAGACGAAATTAATCCGTTCCGCGAGTGTCTTCGTCTAGCGGTTTTTTCGTCTTGCGAAGCAACCCTATTAGCGGCTTAACGGATTAGCGCTTTTAGCGGCTATTAAAGGCTTAAAGGCTTAGCGGATTAGCTGCTAGAGGCTATTAAAGGCTTAGCGGCTTAGATAAAGGGGGGGAAAAGCGAAAAAAAAATCTCAAGACTCGCAAGACATTTTCATCTTGCGAAGCAAGCCCATAGGGAAATTCGTCCTGCGAAGCAACTCAAAAACGGAAAACCCTTTCGTCTAGCGGGTTTTCCGTCTTGCGAGGCATTCGTCTTGCGGGGCACCACTGTATATTGCTTGTTTTATGTTGCTATGGCCGTTGGCTAATACGAATAAAGTGTCTCCTAATCTTAACGTATAAACGAGGCAACTGAATGGACAGCAAATGAAAGGAACAGCAAATGAAATTCAGCACGGCCTTCTCTAATGCACTACAATAATAATAATAATAATAATAATAATAATAATAATAAATTTATTTATTTATACCCCGCCCATCTGGCTGGGTTTCCCCAGCCACTCTGGGCAGCTTCCAACAGAATATTAAAATACAGTAATGCATCAAACATTAAAATCTTCCCTAAACAGGGCTGCCTTCAGATGTCTTCTAAAAGTCTGGTAGTTGTTGTTCTCTTTGACATCTGACGGGAGGGCGTTCTACAGGGCGGGTGCCACCACTGAGAAGGCCCTCTGCCTGGTTCCCTGTAACTTGGCTTTTCACAGTGAGGGAACTGCCAGAAGGCCCTTGGCGCTGGACCTCAGTGTCCGGGCAGAACGATGGGGGTGGAGACGCAGGAGGGGAAAGTAACTTCTGCAACAGCATCATATCCAACACAGAAGTAGCTGCAGGATGTGGGGAACCTCTGGTAACATCTGCAGGCCAGAGGCTCCCCATCGCTGCCATCCTATAACAGCACTCACAGCAGAAACAGGGAATTGTCCTAAGTAGCGTTAACAAAGACCAGTGCTAATGGGGCTTACTTGAAAGGCAGTACTGAAGTAAAAAAAAAACACCCCAGTTTTGTGGGGGTTTTTTTGTTTCGTTACAAGTTCAGGAGGAGATCTACCTTATGCCAGGGGTTATGACGAATATCGAGACTGAGCACCATGGGGGTATGTTTCCGTAAGACGCCAATTTCTTCCCCGGCCTTCTTCAGCTGGTTCCAGCTCAAGTCCAAATACTTCAGTTTGTTTAGGCCTCTGATGCCCTCCAGGGTGATCACGTGGTTATGGCTGGCGTCAAAATATTCCAGGTTCGGCTGCAGCGGAAGTAAGAAGTGCGAGGATGACTTGAAAAGCAAGCAGCTAAGAAACTAATTCGTTTGCAGAACAATGGGCATGGTATTACGATTGTACAGTGGTGCCTCGCAAGACGAAAAGAATCCGTTCCGCAAGTCTCTTCGTCTTGCGGTTTTTTCGTCTTGCGAAGCAAGCCCATTAGCGGTTTAGCGGATTAGCGCTATTAGCGGCTTAGCAGGCTTAGCGGATCAGCTGATAAGCGGCTTAGTGGCTTAACGGATCAGCTGTTAAGCGGCTTAGCGGATCAGCTGATAAGCGGCTTAGCGGCTTGGGAAAAAGGGGGGGGAAAGGAAAAAAACCCCGCAGGAACTCGCAAGACATTTTCGTCTTGCGAAGCAAGCCCATAGGAAATTCGTTTTACGAAGCACCTCCAAAACGGAAAACCCTTTCGTCTAGCGGGTTTTCCGTCTTGCGAGGCATTCGTCTTGCGGGGCACCACGGTATTAGGTGGTTTGACAGTGGAACTGTCTGTCAGTTTGCATTTCTTGATGCAGAAAGTATTGATCTGATGTGTAGAGATCTTTCCTATTCTACTCAATTCAAGAGGGTTCTGGAAGCTTCTCTGTGTGAAAGAAGCAAGCAGAAGGTTCATGATGTTTGGGTTATTCCTTCAGAGAAGCTGAGTACAGCTGGCTTAAACTGGTTCTGTCATCTCTTCTGTCAAGGTCATGGAGACTATAATAATGCCAGAAGGAGCCTGGTTTTCACTGTCTCTTTCTATCTCTTTTCCTTCTGGTGTGGCGTTCTGTACATAGCATGCTTAGTGTTAAGGTTTAGCCTTATAATAAGTTATTGCAAGTTTAAGTTAAGTCTACTGCAGCTGGATTTTTTATGGACAGGGCCAATCCTGAATGTATTGGATTTGTGACCATTGTGCTCATTTGCCTTCAGCAGCAGTAAAGCTTTGCTGGATGAAATATTAATTGCCTCTGGTCTATTTCTTGAGAATCCTGCAACAGGTTTAAGTTTTTACTCTGCTAACTATACATTGGAGTTCTGCTCTGGATCAATATTGAGTAGAATTTCATGCCACGGTCTCCCTCGGAAAGTGGTAGACTCTCTTTCCTTGGAGGATTTTAAGCAGAGGTTGGATGGCCATCTGCCAGGGATGCTTGAGCTGAGATTCCTGCATTGCAGGGGGTTCATCTAGATGACCATTGGGGGTCCCTTCCAACTCTTCAATTCTACGATCTATGAAGTCACATCAAAGGTTTTAAGCAGATAAGTATTATATCCAATGATGTCCAAAGACTTGCGTTTCCCCATGAAAAGCTCCCTTCACTCCAGGGCTTTTTCACTTTGTGCCTTAAATTTAATTTTTACGAACATACCCACTCTAATGAGAAAAAATGTAGCCGCGTTGCTCTTACCAAGTGGTAAACGTCATCTAAACAGGTGAATTCGTTAAAACTAATGATGAGTTTGCGAAGCCCAGTGAGCTTGGAGATGTCTCGGAGTTTGCTCAGCCTGTTTCCATGCAGATTCAGAATCTACGTTGAAAGAGAAGAGGGGATTGAATGTTCTTCTGCATGCAGGGCAGCTGCTACCCTGCCAGTGAGCCACAACAACATCTGGAGGGTATCAGATTGGGACTGAAAATTTTATTATGGGATTGGGCTTCTGCATTGCTCCCCTGCATTGGTCCTTTTGCTTTCTTAAAAAAAGAAAAAGGAAAAGGAAAAGAAAAAGAAAAAAACCCAAGCTCTGCCCCTTTTCAATATAATTGGGACAGTTCCATGTTTAGTCACATCTGGCCCTAAAAGCCTTGCTGGAAAAACTCTCCCCTCTTCCCCATTGCAATGGAGAGGCAGTGTGGCCTAGTGGTTAGAGTGGAAGGCTAGGAGTTCATATCCCCACTAAGCTCGCTGGATGACCATGGCTAGTCACTATGTCTTGGCATAACCTACCTCCCAGGGATGTTGAGGATAAAATGGAGGCTGGGGGGGGGGGCACGGAGAACCACACTTGCTTGTTTGAGGAAATGTGAGATATAAATGCAATAATACATTAAAAGATGATGAAGCTACATGCTCTCTTCTCCTTCCACCTCCACTGCCAGGTGTGGTTCTTCAATCTGACTCCCTACCACCATGCACCTGTGAAATCCCGACCCGTCTAGAGAGGTGCAAGGAGACTGTGGTGGTTTTTTAATTTATTGTTCTTATTCCTTATTGAAGGGGGGGAAAGAATTTTGTACCCAGTATAAAATTAGAAGTGCACAAGGTAAAAAAATAAAGACGTGCAAATAACAGACACACTCGTGTAAAAAAAAGAGACACATACATACAAATTTATAAGCTTACAAGGTATATACCGTATTTTTCACTCTATAAGACGCACTTTTTCCCTCCTAAAAAGTAAGGGGAAATGTGTGTGCGTCTTACGGGGCGAATGCAGGCTGCACAGCTATACCAGAAGCCAGAACGGCAAGAGGGATTGTTGCGCAGCGAAAGCAGCGATCCCTCTTGCCGTTCTGACTTCTGGGATAGCCGCACCAAGCCTCTTCAGGGCAACGGGAGGAACATGCCCCCTGCCCTGATGAGGCTTGGCATGGCTATCCCAGAAGCCAGAACAGCAAGAAGGATCGCTGCTTTCGCTACGCAGCGATCCCTCTTGCTGTTCTGACCGCTTTGCTGGAGAGGCGCTGCGCAGAGAGGGAGAGAATTTTTTTTTCTTGTTCTCCTCTAAAACTAGGTGCGTCTTATGGTTAGGTACGTCTTATAGAGCGAAAAATACGATAAGTGGTGTGGCAAGGCAAAAAAACAAGTCCCCCCAACTTCAGGGAATGGGAAGAGTTTGCCGTCTCCTTTGGAAACAGCACCGTGTCGCTTCGATTATGCAAGAACACCGTGTAACAGAACCTGCTCACCATTATCTGACTGTAGATGTTGGCCTTGGCTACCGCCAGCACCGTCTTTTCATCCAGGCAAACGATTTTGGGCTTGGGCTTAATGATAGGCTTCATGCTTAGAACTTCGTCGTCACGTTGCAAATCCCGAGAAAGCACAAATCCTGCCGAGTTTCTCCTTCCTTCCTCCCCGGTCACGTTGCTGAGCGACGAGAACAGAGGCTCCACTTTGACCTAGGCAGAAGACCCAGAGCTTTCTCTTTTTGCCACAGCTTGTTACTGCGTTTCCTTTGTTTAACTAAACAGATATATAAACAAGCTAAGCGAGAGTCATAAAGATGCTTCGGTGCAACACTCGGCACGGGGGGTGGGGGGAAGCCTGTGATTCTCCAGGCGACGTTGGACTATAGCTTTCATCATCCAACATCTGGAGGGCCAAGGGCTCCCAGCTCCTGACTTAGGAGGACCAAAAAATACAGAAAAAGCGCCTGCATCTGCTCCTCACTGGATTTGACCCTTTGCTAATTAGCTTGGGGTCCAACCGCTGAAGTGGGGGTGAGCCCCTTTAATTAAAGGCAGAGCTTGCTAATTGAGAAAGATGTAGCCATGCATAGGTGGTGCAATGAGTGTGTGCTATCCGTTAGAATTCCTGCTCCGTGATTGCAGTCATGGGATTTTTGTCTTTCACATGACGGCATGTGTTTTGCCTCCACAGAGTGGGAAGTGACGGAGACAGGATGTTTGTGTTACTGTGTTCCGTGAAGTGGGACTATTGTCCTTTGTTCTTTTTCTCCTTGCTGTCTGATGCTAAAGAAAGAGGGAGCCATGTTGCAGTGCTCCGTGTGTGTTTATATGAAAATAAAGTAGATTAGCCAAAATGCTGAGTTGCTGAGGTCTGTTATGCGAACTGCGCAATCTCTGCGGATCCCTAAGTGTGCCAGTGTCGGTTGGCATCGGTCACTGTGATGTTCAGGCAGAAGAAAGCTTATGAAGCTCCCGAACGTTCGACCAGGAGGGAGGGAACATGCCAGTTGGGCATGTGTCTCTGCCAGGGTCCTACTCAAGTGTAGGCTGAACTCCTGACACTATCTGTCCATTTCAGTTTCGTAGACTTGGAAGGTACCCCCAGTGATCATCTAGTCCAACCCCTTGCAATGCAGGAATCTCGACTCAAGGATCCCTGACAGATGGCCATCCAACCTCTGCTTAAAAACCTCCAAGGGAGGAGAGTCCACCACCTTCTGAAGGAGCCTGATCCACGACCAAACAGCTCTTACTGTGGTGTGGCGTACATTTCTGTCGTGCGGCCCCTTTAATTGCAGGGGCAAGCTGCCAAGCCTGTACCACAGCTAGCATTGCCACTGTTGCAGTGGCAGCAGCGGCAACAGCAAGCAATGCATCCCTTGTGGGACAGATCTGCTGCCCCGTAGATGCTAGCGCCTGAGGCAGCCAGGTTACCTTGCCTCATGAATGGGCCGGCCCTGACTAAATGGCTGCAGCTTCTCAGGATGCATGATAACTCTGTAGGTAAAAGTTAAAAATGGTAAAGGACCCCTGGGCAGTTAAGTCCAGTCCAAGGTGACTATGGGGAGTGGCGCTCATCTCGCATCAGGCCTAGGGAGCCGGTGTTTGTCCACAGACAGCTTTCCGGGTCATGTGGCCAGCAGGACTAAACTGCTTCTGATGCAACGGGACACCGTGATGGAAGTCAGAGTGCACGGAAATGCCATTTCCCTTCCCACCGCAGTGGTACCTATTTATCTACTTGCACTGGTGTGCTTTCGAACTGCTAGGTTGGCAGGAGCTGGGACCAAGCAACGGGAGATCACCCCGTCGCAGGGACTTGAACCGCCGACTTCTGATCGGCAAGCCCAGGCACATTTGCAAAGGGGATCTTTACACTAGCCCCTCCGCGCTGAACGCATTGCTAGGGAGCAGGAAGCGCGTACCAATGTGATGTACTCAAATTCCACGATGTACTCAGGCAGAACCAGTTCGTGATCGAACACAAACCACTCGCACTGTCGCAGGTTGCAGTCGCAGTTCTTGTAGTCCAGGGAAGAGCAGACTTCTGAAGCTGAAAGGCAAGAACAGGAATGGCGGATTCTCTTACAGATTCCCCACCCCTCCGGTTACTGAAGTTTTGAAATTGTAAGAACAGGAGACATTTCCAGAAGGAAAATAAGAAAGAGAGGAGAGAAGGAGAGCCCGCAGGATCAGGCCAATGGCCCACCTAGTCCAGCATCCTCTTCTCACAGTGGCCAACCAGGTGCCAAGGGGAAACCCACAAGAAAAGTTCCTGAGCCCAAGACCAATACTATCCTGTGGTTTCCAGCTGCCTCCAGCTCCACCATAGCTAGAAGCCATCAGTAGACCTCTGCCCCACACAACAGCAGAGGTTTGGGACCAGAGTTTTTCTCCACTTAGATGAGCTGCCTCCCTGGGTGGACAGACCCTATTTGCCCCTGCACAGCATGTGCAGAAACCACCTTCTCATTGTTTATTAGATTGATATGCCGCCCTTCGTTGTAAGATCTCAGGACGGTTCACCGAATAAAAGACAGGATGAAAATGAGGAAGTCGTTAAAAACAAAGCAACAACAAACAAACCTATGGTCATGTAAAGCATCCTCAATAAACACACGAGAAGTAACCGACTGTGTTCTTAGATAAATATGATATACAGTGGTACCTCGGGTACATATGCTTCAGGTTACAGACTCCGCTAACCCAGAAATATTACCTCGAGTTAAGAACTTTGCTTTAGGATGAAAACAGAAATTGTGCAGCGGTGGCGCAGCGGCAGCAGGAGGCCCCATTAGTTAAAGTGGTGCTTCAGGTTAAGAACAGTTTCAGGTTAAGAACGGACCTCCAGAACGAATTAAGTTCTCAACCCGAGGTACCACTGTAACTCATAAAGTTCAACAACCAAACAAAGCAGAAGACCCAGTGGATCAGATCATTTTCTAGTCAGTTCATGCATAAGGTCCACCCGTGTAATGGTGTCTATTCCACCTGTCTGTTCATAAAGTCCAAACATGAAAGGTTGTTACAGTTCCACAAAATCCTTTCACAGAGTCTAGACAAGGATTTCCAGAATATTTTCCTTGTTTTGCCATCCTGGGCTTCTTCAGTAGTTAAAGAACTAAGTGTGATTATACCCCCCTTTTTGCCAAACGACGCACTAAGTCACTAAAAGATATATTGGTGCATATGGATTTAAAACCAACACCCATACAACGTACGTTGTCTGGTCCTCCACGTGGTTTCTTTAAATGTGGGCACTGTAACTCCTGCAAATATGCTCTGCAGGTAAAAGAGTTTAACAACAAAGAAGGTTTTAAGTTCTGATCTGATCCACTGGGTCTTCTGCTTTGTTTGGTTGTTGAACTTTATGAGTTACTTCTGTTGAAATTTGATACAATAAAAAGTATACCTTATTTATTAAGAACACAGCCGGTTACATCTTGTTAAAAACAAAGCAGCAAAAACAGTAACCTACCCACCTCCCTTCCTGCAGAAACATTTAGAAAGGCTGTAGAGCGTTAATCAGCCAAAGGCCTGGTGGAAGAGTAAGGTTTCCACCTGGAGCCTAAAGGTGTATAATGAAGGTGCCAGGTGAGTCTTCCTGGGGAGAGCATCCCACAAATGGGGAGCCACTGCGGAGAAGGCCTGTTTTCCCGTTGCCCATTGCAGCCTGTCTTTGCATGCAGGGGAAGCCCCTAACTCACTGAGGATTTAAGACCAATCGAAGCCATTTCCTGGGGTGTGGCTGCTGCCACATGCTGACAGCTTCTGGGAGCTGAGTGCAGGGCAGAGACCAAAGATGGAAAAACTATACAACATGTCTCCCACCAGAGGTACTACCCCTCCCTTAACACCCCCCACACCCCATCCCACGTATGCTTTCGAGAAAAATAGAATCGTAGAGTCCAGTCCAACCCCCTGCAATACAGGAATATACAGCTGCCCCGTGTGGGGATCGAACCTGCAACCTTGGCAACATCAGCACCATGCTCTAGGCAACCTAGCTATCCAGGCTGCCCCAGGAGGGTCAGCACTTGTCACAAGAGCCCTGCTGGAACAGGACAAAGGCCCATCTAGTCCAGCAATTCGTTCTAAATAAGGTTACCAGACGTCCCAGTTTCCCGGGGACGGTCCCCGGATTTACAAATCAGTCCCCTGGCAAAATCCTATCCTTCCTACTGAAGTTGACAAGTGTCCCTGGATTCATTGAAAAAAATCTGGTAACCTTATTCTAATATTCACCAGCCAAATGCCCATGGGAAGCGTGCAAGGGAAGCCCAGGCACAACAGCCCTTTTGCCCCACTTGGGATTCCCTGTGGCTCATATTCAGAGGCATATCTCCTCCGACAGCGGAGGCAGAACGTCGCTACCATCGCTGTGAGCCACCCATCCCAAGCACAGATGTGGCGCTTACTTCCATCTTCCCGCTTTCTCTGTACTAGGGCAGATCACGGCTTTTGGAGCACCCCAAAGCAGAAAAAGAATGCAAAGGTTTCAAATAAATGCAGAGGCTTCATGTGTGAGGCTGGATCTCCCTCTAGTGGCTACTCGCTGCCTTGCTATTTTCTTCCGGTAGCAGTAAAGGCAAAGATAAAGGGACCCCTGACCATTAGGTCCAGTCGTGACCGACTCTGGGGTTGCGGCGCTCATCTTGCTTTATTGGCCGAGGGAGCCGGCGTACAGCTTCCGGGTTATGTGGCCAGCATGACTAAGCCGCTTCTGGCGAACCAGAGCAGCACACGGAAATGCCATTTCCCTTCCTGCCAGAGCAGTACCTATTTATCTACTTGCACTTTTTGGTGTGCTTTCGAACTGCTAGGTTGGCAGGAGCAGGGACCAAGCAACGGGAACTCACCCCATCGCGGGGATTCAAACCGCCAACCTTCTGATTGGCAAGTCCTAGGCTCTGTGGTTTAACCCACAGCACCACCCACGTCCCATCTGGTAGCAGTGGGTGAGTGGAAATATCTGCTCTCTCCTGAGCTTTTTCTAGGCACTCTCTCGCCCTCTGTACCGGAGTCCTCAGACAAATGGAGACTTCCATTTTTTGCGGGGTGTGGGTGGGTGTCCAAATAGCTTACAAAAGCTTTCCAAATGACTTAGAACTAATTGGGACGTATCTGAAACAGACTGAATGGTCAAAACACATCTATAACCGGTCGTTCTGCAAGAACTGCATATCACAGAATTGTAGAGTGGGAAGGGACACAAAGAGTCATCTGGTCCAACCCCTGCAATGCAAGAATCTCAGCTAAATAACCTCTGACAGATTACCACACACCTGGTTTACTGGTAGTACATGCGAAAAGGACCACAAGCTTAACATGAGTCAACAGTGTGATGCAGCAGCAAAAAAGCTAATGCTATTCTAGGCTGCATCCATGGAAGTCTAGTGTCCAGATCAAGGGAAGTCATAAAAGGTAAAGGTAAAGGTACCCCTGCCCGTACGGGCCAGTCGTGTCCGACTCTAGGGTTGCACGCTCATCTCGCTCAAGAGGCCGGGTGCCAGCGCTGTCCGGAGACACTTCTGGGTCACGTGGCCAGCGTGACTAAGCGGCATCTGGCGAGCCAGCACCAGCGCCACACACGGAAATGCCGTTTACCTTCCCGCTATAAAGCGGTACCTATTTATCTACTTGCACTTAGGGGTGCTTTCGAACGGCGGGAGCTCACCCCGCCGCAGGGATTCGAACTGCCAACCTTGCGATCAGCAAGTCCTAGGCACTGAGGTTTTACCCACAGCGCCACCCGCGTCCCAGGGAAGTCATAGCAACACTCTATTCTGCCTTGGTCAGACCACACCTAGAACACTGTGTCCAATTCAGGGAACCCCAATTTAAGAAGGATGTTAACAAGCTGGAACGTGTGCAGAGGACGGCAGCCAAGATGATCCATGGTCTGGAAACCAAGCCTGATGAGGAACGGTTGAAGGAGCTGGGTATGTTTAGCCTGGAAAAGAGGAGGCTAAGAGGAGATACAACAGCCATCTTCAAATGTCTCAAGGGCTGTCACATGCAAGATGGAGCAAGCTTGTTTTCTCCTGCTCTGGAGGGTAGGATCCAAACCAATGGATTCAAGTTATAAGAAAGGAATAACTTTCTGACAGTAAGAGCTGTTCGCCAGTGGAAAGGACTCCTTCTGGAGGTGGTGGATTCTCCTTCCTTGTGTGGGAATGTTCAGGGATGCAGGAGAGGATATATTGTCTGATTATATCCTTTTCCAACTTGTGTTAACAAGTTCCACAATTTAGCAGAATAACATCCCCCTTTTTAAACTTGCAGCGGATGCGTTTGCTCAGGCTTGCTAAAGCCTCTATAATAACTGTTCTGTTATTTTCCCCTTATTCCCTCATAAAAGATAAGACATGACACAGTCTTCTACAAAAGTATAAAAAGAGTTTACTCACATATCATTCTGTTCACAATAGGATCCCAGAAGGCAGACTTAGCTTAGAAAAGTAACATACACTTGGAAACTATCCCTTAAGAAGACAGTCCCTTTGTCCTCTCTTGGCTGGAAGCCAAGAGGGCATCTTTGGCTAAGCAGATGTTGCTTCTTCGATGCATGTGGTGAAAAAAAGAGAGATGGCTGCCCTGCCCTGTGCTTTTGTTGTTACCTGCACAGGTGAGGCCACGCCCACCTCTAGTCACATGCAGAGGAAGTCTGTCCCAGCTCAGAAGGAAACAGGAAGTTTACCTGCTGGCTGGGCAAACATTCCTCCCCATGTGTAAACATGTTCACTCTAGGAATGTTGTACTTGAGTGCTCTTGTGTTTCACATCCCACACCTTGGAGGTTTTAAAATAGAGGTTGGGTAGCTATCTGCCCTGGATGGTTTGGTTGAGATTCCTGCATTGCAGCGGGTTGGGCTTGATGACCCCTGAGGGTCCCTTAATCCTATGATCTCCTTACTTGTACTACTGTGCATTGTCCTTTCATTTATGTTTGGTTGTTGGGGTACATCACACCTAGGTGGTTATATATTGTCGATTCCATATAAGGACCCGAGACATCACCTTGCCAACAAAGGTCCGTATAGTTAAAGCTATGGTTTTCCCAGTAGTGATGTATGGAAGTGAGAGCTGGACCATCAAGAAGGCTGATCGCCAAAGAATTGATGCTTTTGAATTATGATGCTGGAGGAGACTCTTGAGAGTCCCATGGACTGCAAGAAGATCAAACCTATCCATTCTGAAGGAAATCAGCCCTGAGTGCTCACTAGAAGGACAGATCCTGAAGCTGAGGCTCCAATACTTTGGCCACCTCATGAGAAGAGAAGACTCCCTGGAAAAGACCCTGATGCTGGGAAAGATGGAGGGCACAAGGAGAAGGGGACGACAGAGGACGAGATGGTGGGACAGCATGAGTCTGACCAAACTGCGGGAGGCAGTGGAAGACAGGAGTGCCTGGCGTGCTCTGGTCCATGGGGTCACGAAGAGTCGGACACGACTAAACGACTAAACAACAAATTGGGTACTGTTACATTTTTAAAAATAATAAAAATCCCAGGATCAAATTTCCCCAATGAAATCCCAGGAGTATGATATGACCAACTCCAGTTGGAGACACTAACTTACACTTGGGTTTCTCTTGCTGGTCCACAGCCCCACTGCTGTCTGTACTACAGGGGCTGTTCTGGGAGGACTTGCCAGACCTGTAGACGGAATTGATGTTGGGATAGCTGGCCTGGACGATTGGCTCTCCATCGTGAGCCGGGGCGCTGTGTCCAAGGAAGACTTTTGCAACGATGAGTTTCCCTGAGAAAGGAGAAGAGAAGAGAACGTCTCGCTTACAAGAACACAAGGCATCAAAACCCCAGAGTCCCAAACGACGGAAGCAAAATTAACCAAGCCGCAAACAGAATGGGTGACCAATTTTCCCCGGATCTGCCCACTCATTAAGGACATCATCAGAGGTCATTCCCCTGGGTGCCATCCAAACAGAGGTGAAGTGGGTGTCAATATTTTCCTTTGGAGGCGCCCCAACTCGCTGTCCTACAAAATGCCGAATTTCCCCCCTTGCAGAACACATTTTTGCATGTTGTTCTCACTAGCGTGTGTATTTTTGGTGTACGTTAAAAATAAATAAATAAGTGATTTGCCCACCACTCTGAAAGCTTTTTCAGCTGAACAAGAGGAATTAAAAATGGCTTATATAAATAGCTAACTAACTAACTAAATATAAAAGGTAAAGGGACCCCTGACCATTAGGTCCAGTCGTGACCGACTCTGGGGTTGCGGCGCTCATCTCGCTTAACTGGCCAAGGGAGCTGGTGTACAGCTTCCGGGTCATGTGGCCAGCATGACTAAGCCACTCCTGGTGAACCAGAGCAGCGCATGGAAACGCCATTTACCTTCCTGCCGGAGCGGTACCTATTTCTCTACTTGCACTTTTTGGTGTGCTTTCGAACTGCTAGGTTGGCAGGAGCAGGGACCGTGCGACGGGAGCTCACCCTGTTGTGGGGATTCGAACCGCCGACCTTCTGATCGGCAAGTCCTAGGCTCTGTGGTTTAACTCACAGCGCCACCCGCGTCAAATAAATAATATAACCATTTTTGCATTCATTCGTTGGAAAACTGCATAGCAGCCTTTGATGGATGTATGGATTTTGAAACAGATTTTGAAGCATTGGTATGAGAAGGGTGAATTTGGTATAATCATAGAATCGCAGAAGTTGGGTCTCTTGACGATCATCCAGTCCACCCCCTGCAATGCAAGACTATGCAGCTGCCCCATACAGGGATCGAACCTGCAACCTTGGGCATGATCAGCACCATGCTCTAACCAGCTGAGCTACAGGTCTGCATAAAAAAACCCCAGACTGAATGAATTTCTTCTTTGTCTCCAGTGCAAGCTGCTTTCCTCTCTGACAGTTCCTCACTTTGTCACAGCAATATTATTTGGCTTCCAGTCTCATCTACGACTGGTCTGCCCCGCAGAGGACCTTAAGGTCCATGAATAATCATAGAGGTCCAGGGCCCTAAGGAAGTCAGATTATCCTCCACCAGGGACAGGATGACTCCCACCTGGTGGAATGCTCTGTCCCATGAGACCAGGGCCCTGCAGGATTTAATTTCCTTCCGCAGGGCCTGTAAGACAGAGCTATTCTGCCTGGTTTTCAATTTGAACTTAGCCTGATCTTTTATTCCCCTTCCTTCCCTCCCCCTCCCCTTTTTATGAAGATTACCCACTCTGGGATCCCACAGCTAATTCTCCCCTGGTCTTCTCGCTGGCCCAAAAAGGACTAATTTAGCCAGCTAGCCCTGGTTATTATCTAATGTTTATTGGATGCATTTTCCCCCTAAATTGATTTTTGAATTTATGGTTATTCACGTTTTATGCTGTTTTTTGTTGCATCAATTAAGTATTTTAAATTTGTTGTTAGCTGCCCTGAGCCTGGTTTTCTGAACCGGGAAGGGCGGGGTATAAATAAATTATTATTATTATTATTATTATTATTATTATTATTATTGACTCGGGTGGCGCTGTGGGTAAAACCTCAGTGCCTAGGACTTGCCGATCGTATGGTCGGCGGTTCGAATCCCCGCAGCGGGGTGAGCTCCCGTCGTTCGGTCCCAGCTCCTGCCCACCTAGCAGTTCGAAAGCACTCTTAAGTGCAAGTAGATAAATAGGGACCGCTTTAAAGCGGGAACGTAAACGGCGTTTCCGTGTGCTGCGCTGGTGCTGGCTCGCCAGACGCAGCTTCGTCACGCTGGCCACGTGACCTGGAAGTGTCTTCGGACGGCGCCGGCTCACGGCCTCTAGAGCGAGATGAGCACGCAACCCTAGAGTCAGACACGACTGGCCTGAACGGGCAGGGGTACCTTTACCTTTATTACTATTATTGTGAACACCCCCACTTCCACTAGCAGAAAGCATGGCCTTAAAACTTCACATCTTGCTGGACCACCCCGCTAGCACCCAAGGCTCTGTCCCTCTCGTCACAACCCGCTGCATTTATTGCAAGGCCTCTGCGGCTTTTCCAGCTGAAAAGGCTTTTTTTATGTGACGAGGGCTCTAAAAATTATTCATGGGTGCTTAGAGCAACCTCTCTATATTTACCACGCCTGAATGTATCCTCGGAGTCCCCCTTGCTTCTGGCTTGCTTTTGCAAATATTCAATTCTTGGACATTCGCAGATACTGAGACTGTTGGAGAGCTGGACGCCTCCTTCGCTTCCAGGCTGCAAAGAGCAACAAAGCAAGCCTGAGTAGGCAGATCAGACTGACCCTTAAATGCTCTCCCAACATTTAACTACAACAAACCCCTTCCTTCCCATGGAAAGCTGCCATGCTAAGCAAAACATTTCCAGCTCAGCTCTCCCTTATCTCTGTTGGCTATTTTTCTGAGTCATGCAGAGTGACGAAGCGGTTTCACCCTTGAAGAAGATGAAGTAGACTCCGCACTCAAGACTTTGAAGACAACTCTTTGCTTGCAAGGTGGCAACTACTGCAAGCAGTATCGTTGTCATTGTTGTTTAGCCGTTTAGTCGTGTCCGACTCTTCGTGACCCCATGGACCAGAGCACACCAGGCACTCCTGTCTTCCACTGCCTCCTGCAGTTTGGTCAAACTCATGCTGGTAGCTTCGAGAACACTATCCAACCTTCTTGTCCTCTGTCGTCCCCTTCTCCTTGTGCCCTCCATCTTTCCCAACATCAGGGTCTTTTCCAGGGAGTCTTCTCTTCTCATAAGTATTGGAGCCTCAGCTTCAGGATCTGTCCTTCCAGTGAGCACTCAGGGCTGATTTCCTTCAGAATGGATAGGTTTGATCTTCTTGCAGTCCATGGGACTCTCAAGAGTCTTCTCCAGCACCAGAATTCAAAAGCATCAATTCTTCGGCGATCAGCCTTCTTTATGATCCAGCAGTATCATACATAAGTACTAAGTCCAGTGCAATGCACTTCACTCTCCTGAGCCCAAAAGAGGGCCTTCTTGCTTCTAAAACTCCACTGAAGCAATCCATAAATTGTAGCTTGTCTGTCCTCTCCAACTCCTCTGGGTGGCGGGTTCTTGGAGTCTCCACAGTCGGAAAAACAATGGCAAGTCCCAACCTTCCTACCACTAACTAAGACACAGACATGCTCACTTTTAAAAGGGAGTTAACAAAGGCAATGATTCAGCGTTACTGTGACCTTAAACTGGAGTCCCAACATTTTGCAGCCGTTACACTCCATTCCATTGCATAGGTTTTCTTTCCCCCCCGGTACAATTTATTCTTTATAAAATGCATTTTCTACAAATACAGTACAAGTACTAACAGCATTCTAGAAAATGGGAACATCAGGCTGGGCCAGCCCAGGACACTTTGCCACTTCAGGCGAGACAGAAAATGCCAGCCCCCTGTCACGGCTGCTGCCTTCGCTTGAACCAGCTACAGAGGAGGCAGGAGTGTCAGGGGGCCTCCGAGAGTGAAGGAGACAGACACACTGGCAGTGATTGGCGGCAGAGGAGGCTGGATCTGCTGCCTGGGGCAACCACCTCACCTCGCCTCCTGAGTAGGCCAGCGTTGACTTCAGTGGAGGCACTGGCAGAGGAAGAGGAGTGCAGGGGAAGCGCACCGCCCCCGGCAGCGCAATACCGGTGGGGTGTCATTGTGGCTGCCCCCCTGCCCACACTGAGTGCCATGCCCCCAGGACACGTGCCAGCCCCACCCTGCCTGCTCTCCGCCCCCCGGTGCCGGAGCATGAAGCTCCACCACTGACTGGAGGCATTTTGTTTCTTTTTTCCCTAAGAAATAAAAAGTAGACTTCAATCCGAAGGCTCCCTTGCATGATGAAGTGGTACACTCTGTAGAAGGCTGTACTGTGGAACTTTTCTGAAGATGAAGACGCTAATTCAGACCAAACGAAGCCAGAGAGACACAAGAGGTCTCCATTTAAACTTCCAGTTACCAAGAAGACCAAACTTTAATAAAGAATGGGGAAAGAACTATAATTTATCTTGGAGACCACTGTAAGCAGATGCCAACCTTAGCAGGATTGCAGTAACACTTGTAATGTAGCAAGCACTATGGAGACAGTGATATTATATAAAATATAGATTATTGGGAAAGATGCAGCAGAAAAGGTTTAATTAAAAGGACACATGGAGGGGAGGTGGGAAGTCCAGAGATTCGGAGGAATCTGTAAATGTGGATGTGAATGGGCGAGGAATAAATAATAAGTTGCTGCTGCTGCTGCTGCTGTTATATACTTGTAAAATCAAATAAAAACTATTTTAAAAAATAAAAATAAAATAAACTTCCGGTTACCTTTTTTACTTCCTGGAAGCCGTCCTCTAGGATTTGAACCAACTGCTGTTTCTTCAAGGGTACGTCTGGGGGAGATACATAGAAGAGATATTCCAGCATCTTCCTGTAGTTTCTAGATTGGGAAGGTGGGAATAAGAGGGGGAGGGAAGAACACCTCTAGTACTGGGCGCAAGAATGCTCAGGGGCGTTAAATGTCTCGGGGTACCGGGCACACCACACAAGTTTGCATATGATTTGCATATAAAATGAATGCTTTCGGGAAATTAACAAAGAAGGTGGATAGTGTCCCAGCAGCATTGCACTTGCAACCAACATACTTTTTGAAAACAAAGTTTTAAAAGAGAGGGGCAAAGAGGCATGAGATGTGGAGCTTGCTGCTAAAGCGCCTGCTCATGAGACAACCTCCCCCACTCTCCTGTCTCCAGCTGTGGTCTAAACCACTGAGCCTCTTGCCGATCGGAAGGTCGGCGGTTCCAGACCCTGTGATGGGGTGAGCTCCCGTTGCTCTGTCCCAGCTCCTGCCAACCTAGCAGTTCAAAAGCACACCAGTGCAAGTAGATAAATAGGTACCGCTGTGGCGGGAAGGTAAACGGCGTTTCCATGTGCTCTGGTTTCCTTCACAGTGTCTTGTTGCGCCAGCAGCGGCTTAGTCATGCTGGCCACATGACCCAGAAAAGCTGTCTGCTGACAGATGCCAGCTCCCTTGGCTTGAGAAGTGAGATGAGTGCCGCAACCCCATAGTTGCCTTTGACTGGACTTAACCGTCTAGGTTACTTTACCTTTAACTTTACCTACCCTCTCCCTTGTTTGTCCCCAGCTTCTGGTACTCAAAGGTTTATTGCATCTGAAGCTGGAGATGCCGCCAGCTAAATTACCATGGCCAATAGTGGCTGGCGAAACGCTACTCATCTTGTTGAAACCCGACATGTGACAAAGCATTAACACTGTGGGTGTTCATCCACCCCACTCACACATGAAAACAAAGACCACAACAGCCAACGACAAATGAATAACCACACCCTAGGCCAACCCCAACCTCTCTCACCACCAAAGGAACACAAGTGAACAGCAAAGAACCTGCACAAGCAACACTGACACAAAACCGCACAAATATTAAGTAAAATAGAAACATCGCCACTCTTTCCTCCTTTTCTTCCTAATGTCTCAACAAATGAAACTGATTTGTAAAAATGTTACATGGGGAAAAAACACGAGAGAGACATTGCACACACTTTTGTAAATCAAGAAAATCTGTAATAATAAAAATAATAAAAGCAAAACACAAAAAATAATAAAAGAAAAACAGCTTTGACAAGGGACTGTTTTGAGCAGGAAATTTGCATGCGGGGATGCTTACTCCTTTCCCTGCTAACCAGGTTTCTCTGTAGCCAAAGGATGCAGACCAACTTTGAACTCCGGTTTTAAAACTCTGGTTATAACAAGGGCACCTCACCTTTGGCCAGAATTTGCTATCCTGCTGTCTTACTCATCTGTAATTAAAAGAAAAAGGAAAACGCACTTACAAGAACTCATTTAAATCTTCTTTGTCCAGAAAGTGTTGAAACTTCTCTTCAAATTTCAGCCTCAGAATCCGGTTGTGCACCCGAATGACGCGATTCACTTTCACTCCTGTGATGCCATGGGTTTTGAAGTCCAAGGCGCAAAATCGGGATAGAATCAATTCATAGCAGGAATTAAACCTGTGTTTAAGAAAACAGGACTTTGAGACTGTTGATGGCTGAGGTATGTGCATCAATTGTGCACTGTAATACAAATTTTTAAAAATGTCAGTTTGTATGTCAATGGATGGCAAAACAGAAGAAAGACTTGTGCACAATAAGCCAATTGCAACGGAAGAGAAAATACTGAATGAAATTGCAAATTAACGTTGGAACAGATTGAGACAGATTAGTGAATGGCTTTGATGACTGAATTATGCGTTGTTTTGTGATATGCTGTAATTGTGCTGCATTTTGATGTATCTTAATTTATTTTTATAGATTTCTGATTGTCGTTTTAAGAAGCTTTGTAGGAAGCCATTTCACAAACAGAAATAAAAATGAACGAATTAAGAATGTGGGCTTTGTGGTTCATTCTGTCTATTCCTCCCATCTGGAACAGAATTGTTTTTGAGTGTTTCTAGATGTTTAAATTACTTTATCTTCTCTGTGTGTACTTAGAGACTTCTGTGGAAATAAGAAGAGGTGTAAGAATTAACCTTTCAAAAATATATATCAAGGTTTCAAAATACAGTATCTCAAAACAGCTGTACCAGGCATCGCTGGGGGAGCCCTCTTCAAAACGGGTGTTTCCCACTGTTTCCAGTTCAGTCAGCAAAAACTGCACAGCCAAACTACTGGCTTTCTTCTTCTTCTTGACTTCTCCCTGATACACGGCTTCAACTCTGCAACAAAAAGAGCAGGATCTGTCTTGGTTGGAAGGACCACAATAAATACCTGCTGGTCCTAAAAGATCTACATTGGCTCCTGGTAAATTTCTGAGAACCATTCAAAGTGTTGGTGCTGACCTTTAAAGCCCTAAATGGCTTTGGCCCTGTATACCTGAAGGAGCTTTTGAATTATGGTGCTGGAGGAGACTCTTGAGAGTCCCATGGACTGCAAGAAGATCAAACCTCTCCATTCTGAAGGAAATCAGCCCTGAGGGCTCAATGAAGGACAGATCCTGAAGTTGAGGCTCCAATACTTTGGCCACCTCATGAGAAGAGAAAACTCCCTGGAAAAGACCCTAATGTTGGGAAAGATGGAGGACGCAAGGAGAAGGGGAAGACAGAGGATGAGATGGTTGGACAGTGTTCTCGAAGCTACCAGCATGAGTTTGACCAAACTGCGGGAGGCAGTGGAAGACAGGAGTGCCTGGCGTGCTCTGGTACATGGAGTCACGAAGAGTCGGACACAACTAAACAACAACCAGAAGGAGCGTCTCTACCCGCATCATCCAGCCCAGTACATTGAGGTCCAGCTCCGAGGGTCTTCTGGTGGTTCCCTCATTGTGAGAAGCGAAGTTACAGGGAACCAGGCAGAGGGCCTTCTCGGTAGTGGCACACACCCCGTGGAACGTGCTCCCATCAGATGTCAAGGAAATAAACAACTATCTGACTTTTAGAATACATCTGAAGGGAGCCCTGTATAGGAAAGTTTTTAATGCTCGGTGGTTAGTTGTGTTTTTAGATGACACGCAGATTTGCATAATGCTTGGAGCCATTTCATAAGAGGCAAGAAAAGTGAAGGAGGAGCTGAGGGAGGATTAAGGAGGAAGAGAAACCCCATTGTGCATTTCACCCCAGGTGTGGGCAGTGAGCACAAGACCTCCAAACCCAAAGCCTACTCAAACAGCCCTTGAACATTTCCTGAAACGCACGTACTCCTCTAGCTTTTTGCTCCAGAAATTCACTCTTCTTTTGAGGGCCTCCAGTTTATGCAGAAACCACTGCTCAAGGCTCGATTCCTCTGAGGCCTCATCTGGACTCTCAGCTTCCTCATCGGATTTTTCGCAGCCTAAGTTTTGGCTCGAAATAGCTTTGCTCGCCTGTATCTTGCCAGAGGCCTGCAGTTCCACCAGTTCACGTTCCAGCTGTTGGAAAAGGAAACGATGAAAAGAAGTACATGAAAACGCTGCAGTCTTGAGGGCTGCACTATGTTTTATGGTTTAAGGACGCGGGTGGCGCTGTGGATTAAACCACAGAGCCTAGGACTTGCTGATCAGAAGGTTGGCGGTTCAAATCCCCGTGACGGGGTGAGCTCCCGTTGCTCGGTCCCTGCTCCTGCCAACCTATCAGTTCGAAAGCACCTCAAAGTGCAAGTAGATAAATAGGTACCACTCAGCAAGAAGGTAAACAGCGTTTCCGTGCACTGCTCTGGTTTGCCAGAAGGGGCTTAGTCATGCTGACCACCTGACCCGGAAGCTGGACGCTGGCTCCCTCAGCCAATAAAGCGAGCGCCACAACCCCAGAGTTGGTCACGACTGGACCTAATGGTCAGCGGTCCGTTTACCTTTATGCTTTACATTAAGCATGTCCTTTATTTTATTTCATTTAAAACCCTACAAAGCACTGAACACTTCAGTGTTTGTTTGTTTTCTTTCAGAAGCAGCAACTACACATTGGCTCAACCCAGTTTGGGAGCAAAACACACATCTCCACAAAATTATCCCATTGAAAAGTCTGCTCTTCCTTTCTCTCTGAAACAAGCAGTACCTTTGAGAGCAAATAGCAAATTGGAGGTGGGGGGGGGAGGAGAGATCTGTGGGGGAAAGTGTTGGAAGGAAAGAGTTAACATTGCCTCCTTCTTGCACTGTTGTTTTCTTCTGGATTGGGGCCCCCGCTGGCTGGTTTTTTCCAGAACTATCAGGTGGCCAATGCTAAGCACGCTTCTTTTAAAAAAAGAGAGTGTGCTTATCATAATATGCAGTTTGGCCTTTGATTTCCCAAGCCCAAAGACTGAGCAGCTTTCAGAAGAACCACAAAGCCCATCTCTTTGAGATGGCCTTCGTATTGGAGAAAAGGTGGGGAAATTTCAGGGGAGTGGCTCAAATGTTCATTCTAGGGTGGGTGGGTGATGCTTTTGTTCAGCCGCCCTAACAACTAGGCAGGAACTGACAGGGTCAGAGCCAATTGGAGACAAAATCTGTGCTCACACTTCTGTTTACTGTGCAATCAACTGCATTTCCAGTGCCGGGTTTTCAATCTCACAATCTCACAACATGACCCAAAACTTTGTAGATACAGTCATACCTCGGGTTACAGATGCTTCAGGTTGCGCATTTTCGGGGTATGAACGCGCTGAAACCTGGAAGTACCAGAACAGGTTACTTCCAGGTTTTGGCGCTCGCGCATGCGCAGAACCACTAAATCGCGCTTTGCGCATGCACAGAAATGCCGAATTGCAACCCATGCATGCACAGATGCGGCACTGCAGGTTGTGAAAGTGCCTCCCGCACGGATCACGTTCACAACCCAAGCGTCCACTGTACTGTTGGATACTGGTTTCTCAAACCAGTGTCACACCACTTGGGAGTCCTAAAATTTCTAACCAGCACAAACAGCTTTGCACAGGTTAAAGGCAGCCCCTGCTCTGTCACTTCTCCCTGGGGTGCACACAAACAGAAACTTAACTGAAGCCATGCTGACCTGAACGGGGGTGGGGGGAGGTCTGTGGAATGCATGGCTGGGATGCAGGGGGGGAGACCCCTGCCCTCTAAGGCGGCAATGTGAGCACACCTAAAATCCAAGCTCACTGCAACTAAAACCGCCAGTCCCAGAAGCAGGGCCCAACCCAAACGCACTTGGCTGACGCTGCCAAGGGCCGTGCTTACGTTCTTGATGTTGTAGCTGAAATGCTTTATGCGGTCTTCCGGAAGCTTCTGCAGCTTGTGCTTCCTCTCTTTTAGCTTCTCGAGCTCCTCATTAAGCTGCCGCTGGGCGCTCTTGATGCGCATGTTGTAGAACATGACCTTTTTCATCACCATGGTCTTTGAAAGATAAAAGGGAAACCAAACGGGGGGAATGTGGAGGGAACAGTCATTGCACAATGTCACAAAAACCACCCATGGCAACCAAGATAATAAATAATAAAAATAAAAATAAAAATAATTTATTTAGACCTCGCCCATGTTGCTGGGTTTCCCCAGTCACTCTGGGTGGCTTCCAACAGAATATCAAAATACAATAGTCTATTAAACATTAAAAGCTTCCCCAAACAGGGCTGCCTTCAGGTGTCTTCTAAAAGTCTGGTAGCCAGAAGGCCCTCGGCGCTGGACCTCAGTGTCCGGGCTGAACGATGGGGGTGGAGACGCTCCTTCAGGTATACAGGACCAAGGCCATTATTACTTCCAGATGTGGCAGGCTAGCCCAGCTGTGTTTGAGGTCCCTCCAGCTCGTTTTGGTTAGAAGAAGAGGAGGAGGAGTTTGGATTTGATATCCCGCTTTATCACTACCCTAAGGAGTCTCAAAGCGGCTAACATTCTCCTTTTCCTTCCTTCCCCGCAACAAACACTCTGTGAGGTGAGTGGGGCTGAGAGACTTCAAGAAGTGTGACTGGCCCAAGGTCACCCAGCAGCTGCATGTGGAGGAACAGAGACGCGAACCCGATTCACCAGATTACGAGACTACTGCTCTTAACCACTATACCACACTGGTCCTGGAGCTCCACCTCAAAATCCTGCTCTGATGCCACTGGTCATACTGGAAGAGCTGAATTTTAGAAGGCCTATCGTTGTGAATCAAAGCAAACTCCCCCCTCCCCAAATCACACAGATGTATTACTGTCAGACATGCCAACCAGCTGATCCTATGTGTAATAAAGACAAGAGGGAGTCTCCACTGACCTCTGCCAGCTCCTTGATTTGTTTGGAAGATACATCGTACGTGTCGAGCCTCTGGAGCTGAGGGATGTGATACAGGACGTGCGTCGCGTAATTGCAAAGAAGGCAAACCGGATTGGGGTCATACTGGGGGTCGTTCAGGCAGAGATCGACTAAACGAGGCAGCCTGGCCAAATTGGTTACTTCCTGTTGAGAAAAGCGGGGACAAAAAGATTGTATGCCTCCTAGCGCATCCCATATTCTGGGCGAGATCCAAGCACGCCGACTCACTCGCACGACAGAAATCTGCTTCTCACGCCATCTCACGCTTCCAGCCCCACAAAATCTGCTCAGTGGTGGTGGTGCATAGGGCGTCGCAGGAGGGAAGAGAAGTCTTTGCACTTTGTCACAATGAGTTGGATCTCGCCCCCTGTGTTTTATCTGCCAGAGAAATCTTGAAGGAGAAAGAGGATTGGGGGGTGGGGACCTTCAGCATCAAGGTGGATAAAAATAAATGTTTTTTAAAAAAATAAATCAATAAAATTAGATTTTTTTAAATTTTAAATTGGATTTTTAAAATAAAATGCTTCTGGAGGAAAAGGTCCTGACACTGAGGTCCAGCACCGAGGGCCTTCTGATGGTTCCCTCCCTGCGAGAAGCCAAGTTATAGGGAACCAGGCAGAGGGCCTTCTCGGTGGTGGCGCCTGCCCTGTGGAACACCCTCCCACCAGATGTCAAAGAAATAAACAACTATCTGACGTTTAGAAGACATCTGAAGGCAGCCCTGTTTAGGGAAGTTTGTAATGACTGATGTTTTAATGTATTTTTTATTTCTTGTTGGAAACCGCCCAGAATGGCTGGGGAAACCCATCCAGATGGGTGGGGTATAAGTAATAAATTATTATTAATTATTATTATTATTATTACTGGCATCCATCTGTCTCGAGAGACAATGGAGTACATCTCCAGGGGTGAAGTCAAACCCCTGCGTTAGCAGCAGCGAAGTGACACACCCTGGACACATGCCTGGGAAGTGTATGGAGGTCCTGGGCTACTCAGGTGACAAGGCCTGGCTGAGGTGGTCCAAAGGAAAGCAGAGCAAGATATTTGACACCCACCTTGGCTGCAGAAGTACAAGGCGCCATCCAACCGTCTTGGGGACTCCACTCTGGATTTGCGTATGTTTACGTTTTAGCCCTATCTTCTCTCGAAGGTGTCTCACAAGGCAGTGGCATTTTAGGATCAGAGTTTCCCTTCTCCTAGATGGGCTCCCTTCCCAGGTGGACGAGCCCCACCTGCCCCTCACTTCCCTCTACAGCACGTGCAGAAACTGCCTTCTTGACTGATGGACCCGCTATTGGTCTTGTCTGCTCAATCTGCCTGAGCCTGTCTTCACATGTAGGGGAAATCCCTAATTCACCAAGGGTTTGAGATCCATCAGCTCCCCTCACCTTGGTTAGGCAGCCAGTTGGAGACATTTCCTGGGGTGTGGTTGCCATCGCATGCTGACAGCTTCTAGGAGCCACAGGTGAGACCTCAGGGCAGGGTATGAATGAATTTTATTATTACGGTCACAGACCAGTTCCAGCTCACTTACAATATCAGGAAAATCATAAAACACAACAGGAATACATTCAATTGTAATTGGGTATCGCAGAGACAATTCAGATATAGCAGCAGTTAAAAATATATATTAAATCTTGATCACTAAAATATAACCTAAAATTGTCATTTAAAACTTTAATCATTTTGGTAGTACAGCTTGTTCCCTAAGTTTTATGGAGTGCAGGGTAGTTTTATAGTGGCCGTGGCAAACTTAATATTAGCAACCTTGATGATACCCGATTGCCTTTAAATGTTTTTAGGTACTCAAAATATTTGTAGATTTTATTTTTTTTACGGCTAAAATATCTTTTGATTTTAGTTTAGATTTTATTTTTTAGTTTAAATTTTATTTTTTAGTTTAAATTTTATTTTTTAGTTTAAATTTTATTTTTTTAACATGTTGATGTTTGCTGCCCTGGGCTCTTTCGGGAGGAAGGGGCTGGACAGAAATGCCATACATGCAGTACATAAATAAATAAATAAATGAAGTAGGCAGGGATTTAGCCTGAGCACCATGCCAGAATCCAGCACAGACCTTAAAGGATGATATTCGGTTGCCAGACAGATTTAATTTTTCTATATTTGCACTGGGATCCAAGCGATATCCTAAAAAAGAAGAAGAAGAAAGTCACGTGTGACAGGGATTGTTCCTGTTCCTGCACTCTCTTCCTAGCTCCATTCCAAGGACTCTCAGCCAATTGTAATATGGGCAGATCAACACCATCCATTTAAAGCACATGCCACACCAATGGCTTCCCCCAAAGAATCCTGGGAATTGTAGTCTGTCAAGGATGCTGGGCACTGTAGCTTCGTGAGCGTGGAACTACAGTTCCCAGGATTCTTTGGGAGAAGAGAGGCACTTTAGCTGTAGGGTGCGGATCTGCCCTACGGAAAGGCCTGTGCCGATGCACTGGAACAATACCTGTCATATTGGCCTGAATATAAGCTGCACTTTTTTCCAAATTCGGGCCCTGAAAAGTTAAAGTGCTGCTTATATTTGCAACCTTACTGCATGACCTTACTGCGCGGCTCTCCACTTCTCAAGGAAGCAGCCTGGGAGCGTGGGGCAGTGGCGCACCACCTGCCCGCTGCTCCCAAGCCTCCCCTGGCACCGGCTTGGGGTTGTAGTGCTGGGAAATAAGCCTTTAATTTTAAAGGTGCAGTTTATTTGCAGGTGCAGCTTATATTCAGGCCACTTTGGTATCAGGTGCATGCCTGATGTATGTGCGACTCCCGCATCCTGCGTCGGGAAGAGTAGCTGTGTTTGCCCATGTTGCTGCATGGCAAATGAGTCTTGTTGCAGATTAGGTAAAGGTAAAGGGACGCCTGACCATTAGGTCCAGTCGTGACCGACTCTGGGGTTGCGGCGCTCATCTCACTTTAGTGGCCGAGGGAGCCGGCGTACAGCTTCCGGGTCATGTGGCCAGCATGACTAAGCCGCTTCTGGCGAACCAGAGCAGCGCACGGAAATGCCGTTTACCTTCCCGCTGGAGTGGTACCTATTTATCTGCTTGCACTTTGACGTGCTTTCAAACCGCTAGGTTGGCAGGAGAAGGGCCCGAGCAACGGGAGCTCACCCTGTCACAGGGATTCGAACCGCTGACCTTCTGATCGGCAAGTCCTAGGCTCTGTGGTTTAACCCACAGCGCCACCCGCGTCCCTTATTGCAGATTAAAGACTCACAAATTATTACATAAAGCTTTCGTGGACCAGAATCCTCTACATTGGATGTGTTTTTTTATTTGATTCATTTATTTCTGGAATTCATATACCACCCTATACCTGCAGGTCTCAGGGCGGTTCACAGGGTGCATTTAAGTGCACTCCTCAGTACCTGCAGCCGAGGATCACACCATATTGCCATATAAAGTGGACACTCATCCATAAAATGTCTTATGTCATAAGGCAGTTGTGAGTCTTCAAGGGGCCACCAAGACCAGGGCAGAACAACCCACAGACACTTCCGAAGCCCCGACAGGTGCAAAGCAGAAGGAGTGTGAAGCATGCAACTTTCTTTTCATATCCAGTTTGAGAAACAACATCCCTCACTTATTTCCGCTGGGACAGAGAATGCGCCAGCTTCACATTCTTCTAAGGCAGGGGTAGGGAGCTGGGTGTTGTTGAACTAAAACTCCCATCATCTGGCCAATTTGACTAGAGCCGATGAGAGACAGGAGTCCAGCAATATTTGGTAAGAAGAATTCAGAAGAGTATTACGCAGAGCCCTTTAAAGACCATATACACTAAAACAAAAGCCATTTCCCATCCCTGGGGAGATGACGTTACGGGCTGGGAGCAAGCCCTCCCCACGCGCATGGGGCACGATAGCCCCTGCACCATTGGTTGGTCTTCGGCCGCTTCAACCCAAGGCTGTCCAATCCAAATGGTCCGGGGGCGTGGCGCGGGTTATTTAAAGTGCCCACGGCCGAGGACATGTTCCTTTTCTCCCTGCTCGGTCAGTTCTCCCCCCGCCCCTCCCTTAGGTTAGGCTCTTTATCTCCTGACCTTGCTATGGACTTCGGTTGGTCGCCTGTTTTTTAACAGGGGCCTGGCAGGAATTTTTCCCACTTGGCAAATTGGCACTGGCCATTTGGTTTTTCGCCTACCTCGTAGCAATTCGTCACAACTTTTGTCAGGTTTGGCAGTCAGGCATTGGAGTATTAGGCTGAAGGGGAGGGGAGGTAGTGGCCATCACTCACCCCTCCTATTTCAAGGGTATTCCGTTAAAGGAATCTGAGGGGCGTGGTCCCGTCCAAAGCCCCAGACGGGGGGGCTAGGGCCATGGCACGACCCCTAGTGGTGACCCTGGGGGAGTTCCTAGTTGATGTGCATCGGCAGGGCTCCGCCTTCAGATGGTCAACTCTTTCAACACTCCTGCAGATGGGCAGGAGTCAGACATAGTCTTGTGGTTTCCAATGCCTAAGCCAATACCACTCACATTCTGTAACCAATAAAGTTGTGGCCTTTTCTGTCCGTTAACCTAAAATACTGTTTCATGTGTCTTTATTCCACTTCCCGGGAGGGTCTGGAACTGTGGGATGTGAAACACAAGAGCAGTCAAGTACAACATTCCGAGAACGAACATGTTTACACATGGGGAGGGATGTTTGTCCAGCCAGCAGGTAAACTTCTGGGCTGGGACAGACTTCCTCTGCATGTGACTTCCAGCCAAGAGAGGACAAAGGGACTGTCTTCTTAAGAGATAGATTCCAAGTGTATTTTACTTCATTAAGCTAAGTCTGCCTTCTGGAATCTGATTGTGAACAGAATGTGAGTAAACTCTTTTTATTTATACTTTCGTAAACGACTGTGTCGTCTCTTCTATTTTATGAGGGAATAAGGGGAAAATACCAGAATAGTTATTACAGAGGCTTTAGCGAGCCTGAGCAAACGCTGCCGTTGCAAAGCTTAAAATAAAGGGGAATGTGTTACTCTGCTGAAATTGGGGAACTTGTTAACACAAGTTGCATAAGGATATAATCAGACAATATATCCTCTCCTGCATCCCTGAACATTCCCACAGGAACCTTGCCCCACAAAGAAAGGCGCATGCATTCCATCTTTAGTCTTAGCATCAAATGTCGGTGCAGAAACTGCTGAGTGGGCTTTGGAGAGTCCCCAGTCTCTTCTTGCCTTTGCCTCAATGGCTCTAGAGCACAGCAGTTTTCCTCTTCTCCCCCAGTATCATTTAGAAAACGGCCCACGTTCCCTCCCCAAGACTTGTCCTCTACACTTTCAGCTGTGCAGAAACGTGACTCGACATTTTAAAAGCATCACCTACCAATCTTGCCAATTAAATTCCCTGCGAGATTGACATCCTTCAATTTTTGCAGCGTACTCAGCCCCTGTAAACATTTGTAAGGAACAGACTTCAGGGTCACGGAATACCTCAAAGCTTTAATAAATGCAGGGTTATTCCTGTCGGGTGACAGTGCTGATCACAGAATGATGAGGTTTTTAATCAATCAAGTTTAGTTCTTCAGACATGACATGTGCCAACTTACGTTAGCAGAACAAACGCTTTTGGAAATGTTAAGACCAAACTGCACTTCTAATATGCTGTGATAAATACATTCTGTGGCACTTCGAAAACTAGCAAGTGGGCTCCAGCCCAGAACCGCTTATCGATAACAAATCTCTTAAGTCTTTACGGTGCCACATAACTCTTTGATAACAACTTTCAGAGGGAAAACAAAGAGTTTAGGTGGTTCTCTACCTCTTCACTAGTGCTCAACAATCTTGGGCAGTTTCTTGGGCTTAAATTTGGTCTAATGGCTTTCCTTAAAAGATTCCTGGGTGTGAGAATCCTCAGTTATAGGCCCATAGTCTGCCCCTGCTACTGAACCACAGTTCACTGGGTTCTCTGGAAAGACAGAACGCCAATTTTTAAAAAAATCAGCTGAACGGCACAATCGTATATATGTCTACCCAGAAGCAAAGGTAAAGGACCCCTGGATGGTTAAGTCCAGTCAAAGGCGACTATGTGGTTGCAGAGCTCATCTTGCTTTCAGGCCAAGGGAGCCGGTGTTTGTCCACAGACAGCTTTCTGGGTCCTGTGGCCAGCAGGACTAAACCGCTTCTGGTGCAACGGAACACCAAGACCAGAGCAGCGCACGGAAACACCGTTTACCTTCCCGCCAGAGCAGTACCTATTTAGCTACTTGCACTTTTGGTGTGCTTTCGAACTGCTAGGTTTACAGGAGCTGGGACCAAGCAACGGGAGCTCACCCCGTCACGGGGATTCAAACCGCCGACCTTCTGATTGGCAAGCCCAAGAGGCTCAGTGGTTTCAACTGTTCTGTGTCTAGCCAAGATTGCATTGCTATGCAGGGACCATATGCAGCTGTCACATGCTTTGCTCAGCAAGTTCCAGATCATTTAGCACATCTACAATTGAAATTAAGCTTCTCAGCACTACCTAGGCAAACAGGACACAGGAGATGAATGTTGGCTGGGCCATCCCTGTACTAATGAATTTAATTTATTGGATTTATATCCCTTCTTTTCGTCCAAGGAGCTCAAGATGGTGTGAATTAGGGCTGGGTGATTTCTCAATATATTGTCCAAAACCGGTTTGAAGTCCATATCGTGATATTAGTTTCATAATTTTTGACCTGGAAATATATGGTGTGGGCAAGTCGGTAGGTGTGCTATGCAAATATCACAATGTGGGGGAAACCGTGAAGCCAACCAAAGCCTCTACAGAGCTCCATCCTTATATCCGACATTGTGATTTATCAGTATATCACGATGTTTAGCTGGTGATCTATCGCGAAGTTGAAAAGCACGTATAGCCCAGCTCTGCTCTTCGCCTTTATGTACCGTATTTTTTGCTCTATAGGACACACTTTATCCCCTCCAAAAATTAAGGGGAAGTGTGTTCGTCCTATAGAGCGAATGCAGGCTCCTTGGCTTCAGCGATAGCAACGCAAAGCCTCCGAAGCGCAGTGGGAGCGCAGCACGAGTTTCCGCTGCGCTCCGGAGGCTTCGCGTTGTTTTCGCTGAAGCCGGGAGAGCAAGACCCTCCCAGCTTCAGCAGAGAGGGAGAGCTGTGCAGCGCCTCTTCAGCCAAGCGGGAGGAGAAATGGAAGGGGCTCCGTTTCTCCTGCCGCTTTGCTGAAGGGGCACTGAGCAAAGAGGGGGAGAATTTTTTTCCCTTGTTCTCCCCCTCTAAAACAAGGTGCGTCCTATGGTCTGGTGCATCCTATAGAGCGAAAAATATGGTAATTCCATCCTTATTTCAGACATTGTGATATATCGATATATCATGATGTTCAGCTGGTGATATATTGTGATGTTGAAAGCCAGGTATCGCCCAGCCCTAGTGTGCGGGGTTCCCTTCTTCCTCATTTAATCCTTACAACCCTGTGAGGTAGGACTAGAGGCAGTGACTGGCCCAAGGTCACTCAGTGAGCTTCATAGCCAAGTGGGGATTTGAACGCTGGTCTCCCTGGCCCTGGTCCAAACTCTAAATATTCCACTGCACTGGCTCTCAAGGACACCTGTTCGAAGGTGCTTGTGGCATCACTGTGATAACATGCACAAATTGTCCTGCCCCAACCAGAAGAGTCAGACAGGAATGAATGGCCAAAACAAACAAACAAAACCCCAGGCTCACCTCTATTTCTCTAATCTGGTTCCCATTAAGCCAAACAACTTCCAGCTTTGTTAGCTTCTCCAGATTCTCAATAGTTGAAATCCTGTTGCAATAGAGGTAAAGCTTTTGCAACAAAGCACATCTTTGCAAACCATCGATCTTCTGAAAAGAAGGGAGCGTGCGTCAGTTTTAAGCACCAGCCGAAAAAGGGAGAAAAGTGCACGCTTGAGTAAAATTACTTTGTCTGGGGAAATCCCACCAATTGCAGGCCCACAAAAGATGTTCCAGCCAGCCAATCAGACGTGCTCTTTTCCAGGAAACTCAGTTCCCTTACCCCTTTCACCCCCTCAGCCCACCCCCTGCACACACTCCTGGACTTCAAAATGAGAGGAAAGCCAGTTGGTCAAGGGTCCATCCACCCTTCCTTGCCCACTGGAAAATAAAAGGCTAAAATAAAAGCCTATTAAGCCCACTTACTGTCAAGCAGCATTCGGCCACCCATAGCTCTTTAAGTACCAGGCAGTACTGCAGGTCAGAAATCTCTTGGATGGCCTGTCTGACGAGAACCAGCCTTGTTAAATTGGGGAAATGCGACAGGCCTACTATTCTGGAGTAGCCAGAGAAAAACATCTCCAGACTCCTCACCGAAGATCCCTCTAGGTCAATTCTGTCATAAGACAGTCCATTACAGGTACACTGAAAGAAAAGAGAGAGACACAACCACTGTTATTGACCTCCTTCTTGATGAGAAGGAGAAGTCAAGCACATGCCAAAATGTGTCATTGATGTCATTGGCTATGTTTAATAATAATAATAATAATAATAATAATAATAATAATAATTTTTATTTATACCCCGCCCTCCCCAGCCAGAACCAGGCTCAGGGCAGCTAACACCAATAAAATTACAATAAAACATAATAGAAAAAGAAAAAAAACAGTTAAAATACGGGTTAAGATACAATTTTAAATGTGGATGTCAAGGAGATAAAGAACCATACAACTTTTAGAAGACATCTGAAGGCAGCCCTGTATCAGGAAGTTTTAGTTTGAGCCAAAAGGGCACTTCTCGTGTTTCTTAGACGAAGGTCAAAGTACCCTGGACCTCAATCATATTCAGAAAAGAAACACAGTCAAATAAAATACGATCAACTATACAATCAATTACAATAATAAATCAAAGAGTTACCAGCTCTTTAACGATTTCATCGGAAGGAATCTGGTTTTGATTATCACTTTGGATCATCTTCTGAGCATTGCAGCTTAATGGTCACAGCACAGGATCTAGACAAGAGGACAGCAAAATAATTATCTGCTGACAAACCAGACACATAAATGTCAGAATAAATGGGAAAGACAGTGTTCAACAATGTTAACTTCCAGAGCCATCACCTTGATAGGCCCACATGAAACAGGCTACAGAACCAAGAGGAAAATTATGTATTTTAGGTTTGGGAATGCCTGTTTCCTTAGATAACACAAAAGTGGGGATAAGGGGGAGAATCTCCCCTTCCCTCCTGTCCCATCCGATTTTGCGCCAGTTCATGTGTTCTCAGCTCCAGTTTCAGATCCTGTGATTCAAAGACAGCGGGGAATCAGTGTGGAAGAATAACTGGGAAGGGAACGGAACGGTTGCGGCTCAAACTTCCACAAGTCCTGTGGTTCTGCTTCACCCGAGTGCACATGGGGCATGATCTCCAGGCATCCTACAAGTGTCAGAGAGGACCAAGCAGCTACCTTTCTACATGCAGGGAGCTCTGTTCATGTGGAGAGTTGATTCCCAGCTTTCCCATTCCCGGGGTGGTGAAGGTGGTATAGGGCGAGGATGGGGAGCAGAAGGACCATGTAGTATATATTGCCACACCACTCCTATTTACATCTGGAGAGAGGAGCCTCTGGGGCAGAGGAAGCTGGGCCAGCTTCCTGCAAGCACCAAACAGATGAACCATTTCCACTGAATCTCCTGGTATTTCTACATTTAGTTGGAAAGAGCTGCAGGGCCACTCAAATTGGATCAGGCAGAGGTAGGAGGGGCGGTGTTAACCTTTCCGCCCTATTCCATTTCCTCAGTCTAAGGTCACATATGCACCATACATTTAAAGCACATGGCTCCCCCCTCCACTTTTTAAAATATTAAGCCGTATAAACAATAGTTAAAATAAATGAATACGCAGGACTCCATAGCAACCCCCAATCTCTGGAATCCTCCACCTCATAAAGTGCATCTGCCTCTTCCATTGCTGTATTTTCATACAGCTTTTCCCAATAACTAGGCTATTATGTGTATCCTCCTCACTGTTAAATATTTATAAGCGTGCACATATATGGAGATTTTGATTATTTGCATTGTGTTTTACTGTTTTATCATTATATTCCAAGTATTCACAACTTTGGGGACCATGGCGAACAAAAAGCAACATAAGAATAAATAAAGATTTAATGAAAACCAGGAGCGAATTCCAACACAGGGAGTTGGACTAGATTACCCTTGGACTCCCTTTCAGTTCCACAATTCTCTGACTCTAAGGTGTCAGACATACCTCTTTGGGGAGGGACTTTGCACAGTTTAGGAGCTGCCACAGAGAAGGCCCTATATTTCCTTCCAGTTTGCTTCCAGTGGATTCGAAGATCCTGTGACACACATAGTACAGCGTCCAAGGATGTGAGATGCAAAATTCCTCACTGAAATGTCCCACACAAAATCACCTGGTGACCTCAGGCACACAACTATTTTCCCTTGCCCACCCCAACAAAGAAATCTGCAATACAGAAACAACAGTGACACACCCAAAAGGCTGTATGTTATCACTATTATTAATAATGCTAAAATTTGCAGTATATGGCAAACCTGGGAAGAACTTTAAAACAACAATATTCCAAAAGAACTCCCATTAAACAATCCAAAACAAAGGAGCATTCCTTAACAATATATTATGATTCCACACTTACAATCACTGACACAGGTCACAATCTCCAGTCATTCTGTCCCCTTCCGCCTCCTTCCAGCCACCTCAAACCTGAGGGTTTTGTTTTATATTTTATAAGGCCATTACAAATTCTTTTAAGCAGCAAACTAAGTCCCATCTTGGCTGCGAATCCTGAAAAACCTGCTCCCCGCCTTATGTACTTTTTGATGTGGGTTTTTCTCTTTTTGTACCTTTATTTTTAAATCTGTTACGATTTACGTGGAAATGGTTCCATTTGGTTGCGTGCTTTTTGATGTGTTTTATTCATTGTTTATTATTACTTACTTTTGTATTTATGTAAATCTTTTTGCGCCGTGTAAGCCACCTTGAGCACGGTTGCAACCACGGAAAAGACAGCAAGAGAAATAAAATGAGATATGGACACAGGTGTGGAAATCTGGTTTCAGGGGACACTAAAAAAAAAAAAAACCTTCCCCCCCCCCCCAAAGTGCAGCAAAAATGTCCACCTTCTTTTCTACAACAGCTGCAATCCTAACCTCACTTACCCGGGAGTAACCTCCACTGAAATCAATAGGGCTTGCCTCCGAGTAGACATTTTAAAGTTTGTTTTACTGATTTATTACATCTGTACGCTGCCCTTCATCAGAAGTTCACAACACATAAAGAAAACAGAAAATTTGCAGCGCAGCAAAAGCAAAACAAGCCAGTAACCCCACAATGGCCAGGACTGTGCCGAAGCACCTCAGTTTTTGTGTGTGTGTTTTTAAAAAGAAACAGTGGGCTAAAGCGGGGTAACTAATCCGGGGTAAGAGACTTCATGCATGCTCTCCTAAGTTGTGTGGAGAAGCAACCCCTCTTTGCATAGGGCAAGGAAGAGGATGTACAACGCAGCTACCCCATGGGAAGGGGAAATAGAAAGAGGGTAACAGCGAGGTCAGTCCCTTCCCTCTCTCGGGCGGGGTGCCAGATATGGGGGAGGAAGGAGGCGCAAGGCAGTTGCCTAGCAACGGCAGGTAACCCACTCCTCCTCCCTGGCGGCCGCTCAACCTACCTGGAGCCCAGAGAGATGCTGGCTGAAGCCAGGCCGGGCTGTGTATCGTGAGCGGGCCCTACCGTCGCCTAGGCAACGCTCCTCCTCTCTCCCCGCCCGCTGCCTAGCAGCAGCCAACCAGCGTCGGCAGGCAGGCAGGGGCGTGTGTGGCGTCACAGGGTTCCACGCACAGACTGGAAGGAATGAATGGAGCGGCGGGGAGGAGCTTCCATTCAACCTCGCTCGCCGCGCTCGCCCGAAAGTGCGCGGTCATACCTGAGTCCGATGCGACAGGTGTTCCGGGGCGGGTGGGTTTGAAGGTCTGGAGCAGGTTCATTAGGAAGGAAAGGCAGGCAGGTTGCAATGGGGGTTGGTTGTTTCGTGTTTTGCTCACGGGTAAAATAAAAATTATTATTTACGATAGCATACGATAATTTTTATTGTCATTGTCCCATACAGAACAGCGAAATTGAAAAAATCTACACCATACATTCGAAAACCAACAAGCCTGCTATCCCAGCTATCCCAGCCTGGTTAGCCCCCTAAAAACTCCGATATCCCATAATTAAATACAATATACTCCCATAGAGACTACCTTATACTGTGTTTCAAACCAAAATCGCATTTGGATAGAAACTGTTTCTCAGGCGGCTGGTCCTAGTCTTGATAACCCTGTACCTTCTTCCAGGTACAGGGTAGATTTGATCCAAGGTGGGAAGAGTGCACCCAATTATTCTCTCCGCAGTCTTTACAACCCTGGACAGCCTTGTTTTTTCCCTGACCGTGCAGCTCCCAAACCACACACACAGACCTTGCCAACAAAGGTCCGTATAGTAAAAGCTATGGTTTTCCCAGTAGTGATGTATGGAAGTGAGAGCTGGACCATAAAGGAGGCTGATCGCCGAAGAATTGATGCTTTTGAATTCTGGTGCTGGAGGAGACTCCTGAGAGTCCCATGGACTGCAAGAAGATCAAACGTATCCATTCTTAAGGAAATCAGCCCTGAGTGCTCACTGGAAGGACAGATCCTGAAGCTGAGGCTCCAAGACTTTGGCCACCTCATGAGAAGAGAAGACTCCCTGGAAAAGACCCTGATGTTGGGAAAGATGGAGGGCACAAGGAGAAGGGGACGACAGAGGACGAGATGGTTGGATGGTGTTCTTGAAGCTACCAGCATGAGTTTGATCAAACTGTGGGAGGCAGTGGAGGACAGAAGTGCCTGGTGTGCTCTGGTCCATGGGGTCACGAAGAGTCGGACACGACTAAACGACTAAACAACAACAACCTTCTTCCAGAAGGCAGAAGCTGAAAGAGATCGTTTCCGGGGTGCGCACTATCCTGCGCTATCTCTGCAGCTTTCTTATGACACCTGGAAGCGTAGATTTGATCCAAGGTGGGAAGAGTGCACCCAATTATTCTCTCCGCAGTCTTTACAACCCTGGACAGCCTTGTTTTTTCCCTGATCGTGCAGCTCCCAGACCACACACACAGACCATAAGTTAATACACTCTCAACAGTACAATGGTAAAATGCCATCAACAGGTCCTTTGAGAGATTATTTTTCCAGAGGATTCTCAGAAAATATAACCTCTGCTGTGCTCTCTTCATCAGGTCTTTGCTGTTTTCTCCCCAGGTTAGGTCATCTCTCAACTCCATTCCCAGAAACTGAAACACCGAGACCTGTTCCACACACTTTCCCTCAATAATAAGTGGCTGAATATTCAATTTACATTTCCTAAAGTCCACAATAATCTCTTTTGTTTTCTTTAAGTTAAGGAGTAAGCTGTTTTTCCTGCACCACTCCCCCAACTGCTCAACTTCCTTCCTACAGGCCACCTCCCCCTCTCCAGCTGTGATTAAACCAACCACCGTTGTATCATCTGAAAACTTAATGATCTTATTTAGTATATTTTTATTTGTTTATACACCATCTCAAGGCGTCTTCTAGACAAAAGCAAGACTCGCTAAAAACAGCCATAAAAAACCCAAAAACCAAATACTTGGGCTTGCCGATTGGAAGGTTGGCGGTTCGAATACCTGTGACAGGGTAAGCTCCCGTTGCTCGGTCCCAGCTCCTGCCAACCTACCAGTTCGAAAGCACATCAAAGTGTAAGTGATAAATAGGTACCGCTCCGGCGGGAAGGTAAACGGTGTTTCCGTGCGCTGCTCTGGTTCGCCAGAAGTGGTTTAGTCATGCTGGCCACATGACCCGGAAAAACTGTCTGCGGACAAACGCCGGCTCCCTCGGCCAGTAAAGCGAGTTGAGCGCTGCAACCCCAGAATTATCTGCGACTGGACTTAACTGTCAGGGGTCCTTTAACTTTATTTACATTGATAAAATCTCAGGCAGCCTCTGGCAATTTCCCCCCATTCTATTTTACTTGCATGAAATTGGTTGTTAAGAATAAACCACAAAACTCTAAAGTTTACAAAGAGGATAAAGTGATAAGAACACAAGCCTGCAGTGGCAGCCTTCCCCAGTCTTGCACCTTGCATACTGCCTCTGACAGTCACTGATAGCCTTATTCTCCTCCATGAATTTGTGGCATCCTCCTTTACAGGTGTTCAGGTTGGTGCTCATCACTGCCTGCCATGGGAGCAAATTCCATTGTTAAAATACTTCTTCACACAGCACACAATTAATTCTGTCTGTCCTGAATCTTGCAACATCCTGCTTCATGAGATGACCCTGAATTGCAGCACAGTGGTACCTTGGTTCTCGAACGCCTTGGTACTCAAACAACTTGGAACTTGGAACCCAGAAGTGTTACGATTTGTGAACTTTTTTCGGAAGCCGAACATGCTCCGTTTTGAGTGTTATGCTTCCGATTTGAGTGCCACACTTCCGTTTCGAGTGATATGGTGACACTTCCATTTTGAATGTTACGCTGAGGTCTGTCTGTTTTTGCTATTTATTTTGCATTTTTGTTTTTGCAGCTTTTTTGTTTTGTTCTTGTGACTGTGCGGAACCCAGTTCAGCTACTGATTGATTGATTGTGTGACTGCAGTACATTGTTTATTGCTTTCATTTGATGGATCAGTGGTCTCATTAGATAGTAAAATTCATGTTAAATTGCTGCTTTAGGGGTTGTTTTTAAAAGTCTGGAACGGATTAATCCATGTTGCATTAATTTCTATGGGAAAGCGTGCCTTGGTTTCGGAACGCTTTGGTTTTGGAATGGACTTCCAGAATGGATTGAGAGTCAAGGTACCACTGTATTATGAAGAAGCAAAATGTCTCTCTACCCACTTTATTCACCCCACCCACTATCTTACACACCTCTGTCATGTCCCCTTTTATACATCTCCCCCCCCCATTAAATGGTCCCAATTGCTGCGACCTTTCCTCACTTCATCCCCTTGATCGATTTTGGTTGCCCTTTCCTGAATCTTTTCAAACTCTACAATATCCTTTCTGAGGCAAGTTCTGGTCAGTTAGGTGTGAGCATGTCCTGCTTAAGTCCATAAGGTTTACTCTGAGTAAGTGTGCATGGGTTTGGGCTGGTGGGAGTTGCTTTCCAAAATATCTGGAGGGCACTAGCTTGGGGAAGTCCGCTCAGGCAAAAGGACATGCTCATCAGTAGTTCTTCCTCCCTTCAGATGTGAAAAGCAAAGCTAACCCGCACATTGCCTGGCAGTACTTTGACACATCGCCAGATGTCACTGTTATTCACACATTGCATCTCCCGTCCATTTCCGTGATTTGCCTTGCAAGTTCCTCTATCCCTTATTAGTAAATCCTTTATTGTGCTGGTACTAAATTTGTTGTTGTTGTTTAGTCGTTTAGTTGTGTCCGACTCTTCGTGACCCCCTGGACCAGAGCACACCAGCCACTCCTGTCTTCCACTTCTTCATGCAGTTCGGTCAAACTCATGTTCGTAGCTTCGAGAACACTGTCCAACCATCTCGTCCTCTGTCGTCCCCTTCTCCTTGTGCCCTCCATCTTTCCCAACATCAGGGTCTTTTCCAGGGAGTCTTCTCTTCTCATGAGGTGGCAAAAGTCTTGGAGCCTCAGCTTCAGGATCTGTCCTTCCAGTGAGCACTCAGGGCTGATTTCCTTCAGAATGGAGAGGTTTGATCTTCTTGCAGTCCCTGGAACTCTCAAGAATCTCCTCTAGCACCATAATTCAAAAGCATCAATTCTTCAGCCACCAGCCTTCTTTATGGTCCAGCTCTCACTTCCATACATCACTAAGCATAGCTTTTACTATACGGACCTTTGTTGGCAAGGTGATGTCTCTGCTTTTTAAGATGCTGTCTAGTAAATTAGAGGTGCACAATCAATGCTTTGCCTTAGCATGCACTGTTCATGTGCTCCCAGCCATAAAATCATAGGGTTCGAAGGGACCCCAAAGGCCATCTAGTCCAACCCCCTGCAATGCAGGAATCTCAGCTAACACAGCGACAGATGGCCATTCAACTTCTGCATAAAAGCCTCCAAGGAAGGAGAGTCCACAGCCTCCCATGGTAGATCATTCCACTCTGTTACTATATTATTATAATTCCAATGTTCAACTTTATTATCCCACTGCTCCACACTTTTACTATATTATAACAAATTAATAATAGCATCCTTTTTTGTGTCACACAGGGCCCCAGAATGGGGCTAGATCACATAGGGGCCAACTCCCTAGGGGTCGAGGCCCCTTCGCCCCCCAATAGGATATTTGAGGGGACTGCCCCCACCCCAAGCTGTTGGGCATTGCCATTCAAATAGTGTGCGTGAACTGTGTCATGTGATCAATTGTGCTTACTCTCCCCCCCCCGGCAATATTTTATTCAAGTTAGCACCCTGCTAGATCAAGAGCATGGGTAGGCAAACTTAAGACCCAAGCACCTTCTAAATCCGGTCCGCGGATGGTCCAGGAATCAGCGTGTTTTTACATGAGAAGAGGAGGAGGAGGAGGAGTTTGGATTTGATATCCCGCTTTATCACTACCCGAAGGAGTCTCAAAGCGGCTAACATTCTCCTTTCACTTCCTCCCCCACAACAAACACTCTGTGAGGTGAGTGGGGCTGAGAGACTTCAGAGAAGCGTGGCTGGCCCAAGGTCACCCAGCAGCTGCATGTGGAGGAGCAGAGACGCAAACCCGGTTCCCC